ACAAGATTCGTTGAAATATTTTAAAGGAAACTATTTTTTTAAATAATAAAATAATCGGGCACCTACTGTAATCATAAGAATTGAGATTGAAAAACGCCAATAGAAAATAAGATAAAGTCAATATATAATAAATAAAAGTTGCTAATTCTTATAATATAATTGTGAATTACTAACAAATGTATAATAATATTGATGAACTAAAATGAAAACAAATTTAAGAATTAAAGAGGAAAATAATTATTACGAAGCACAATATAATCGGTCTTCATCCGATGAATCCTCGGATGAGGTGATGACTTTACTTCTTCAACTGTTTTGAGTTGATCAATGTCCAACAAATTGATCATTTTTTTCATTGTATTTCTTCTTTTAGGTTTCAAAGATCGCTTGTGTAAACTTTGCAAGAAGTATGATCAGATGTTATGAGAGCCTGATTCGATGAGATCAGTGTTGGGTAGTCTATTCTTGACTTTTCCTTGCAAACGGTTCCCTGAACTTTCGTGTTTGTCCCTTATTTCTTGCTTCCTGAGCTTCCTCAGAAAATTGTCCAATAGCAGAATGCAACTTTCAATTATGTCCCTTCCATGGAAGAGAATCTTATGTAGAGTTACGGGCATGCGATAACAGTAGTAATGTTGGAAGTACAGAGCTCACGTGCAATTAATAAATTTTTCAAAATTATGTAAATTGATTTTTTCCCACTGTTTACGCATTCTAATATGACCCCAAAACTCTTTATTATATCCCGATTTATTCCAGTTATTTCTGAAGATATCTCAGAGGTTCTGAAGAACTTTCGAGCAGTATTTCATCATTAATATGCCACTCTGCGCTTAGCATATCACTAGTATAGCCCTAACTTCTGCCTGAATTATCTTGGATGCTGTTCTTCCTTTGAGACATTGTTTTCTTTAATCTACAGCTCCTCTTATCTGAGTTGTACGAATTGACGTCTTCAATTTGGCACAAACGACGAATTCTGTGTCAATAAACTGACTGTAAAAGTATCTCAACGATATTTCTGTCACTTTCACAATTCTTGATAACACATAGTTTTTTTCTCTTTAACTCTGCCGCGGAATGGTGGATATAAACTTATCACATATTTATTTTCTCAGCTTGTTTTCGGGATTCGTAAATATTGTCAGAGAAGGACAAAATGCGTATCCCGCCCAACACACCATACTATCACAGGAGCGTGCTTGATCTGGAGAGCAGTAAAAGATGGTTCTTGATGCAGAGCGATTGATGTGAACTTTCTTAATTGTTGTGCCTCTGATTAGGAGAAGGCAAGATGTAAGTTCTTGTACTATATTCGCGAATTCTTCTTTTTCCTCCTTCCCTTAATTTATTTCAGTAGCTGTTCCTTAATTCTTCTCGGGGATGCAACGTAACAGCCTGTTTTACTCTCTGTCTTTTAGCCTAGGGCCACGGAATGAACCAAAAGGCTTAAGTGGACAACCAATGTCCCTCTACCTTGCATCATCAGATTTTGAAGACATGGATGAATTTTTCATTAAATGTAATTAAAATTTGATGTCTTCATGCAGCCACGATGTGTAATTAATCTATAAATCACTGTTTATGCCTCCCACATCTTTTTCCATTTTTTGCAATGAAACTGACAAAAATTTTTTTTAATTTGATTTTATATGGACCTGTATTGAAATGTGAGTAATTATTTCTTTCGCTTTAATTCGGGATAACATGTACCGAAAATACCAGCAGTCATACCTGACTCCGGTGTGAGCTTACACACCATACATCCAAATGACGTCTTTCAGAAATTGAGCTGCTCCACTGCTTGAAAAAATTGAAGATCTTCATAAAGTGCGCAGATATGCGCAGAAACTTGATCTTTTGTAATATAAATACCCAAAAGAACAAGGTTTAACGACAATGTAGTCACAAACGTCAACTATTGTTAACTCAATTTAAAAATCAACAGATATTTGTAAACTGGCGCGAAAGTACAACTAAAATTACTTACTTTTTCAAAAGTCACCTACGAACAATCACAGGCACTTTTTGCTTATTCTTAGGCAATATACTCAAAAACACAAGTGTTTAATCACTCCCTTGATATGCGTTCCTTGATATGCTGCCTTGATATGCGATATTGGGATGCACACTGATCTCCAACAGGAGCTGTACTGAAATGCAATTGATACAGACGTGCGGTGCTAGCACCAGATTGTGCGTGTTTGAACTTGTTCTACTGCCGTTTCATGCGACTCAGAATAAGAACAATACCCATTTTGTATACTTTGGTCCTTCTATAATCAAACAAATACCCAAACTAACCAATATTAATACTTTGGAAAATGGACTTACGTCCGCCTAGATAGCCAAAATTACACACTGTGCGTCGGTATTTTACAATTCTGCAATGCTGTCTCGTAATTTATCCGACCGACAAACTCATATCTATACTTCCCACACTTTTGTAAGTGGAGAATCGTTATCTATTGAAAGGCAATCAGCATCGACATTATATAATTGAGAAGCTTCTCTTCCTTCCACGCGTGGTTCCCCAAATCACGTGAAAATAAAGGGTTCAAGAAAAATTGTTTGGTTTTTCCCCCCGTCCTAGAACGTGAAACTTTCTGAGCCCTCTGCTTACGACACAAATAACGTTACTCAGACTACTCCGGAACTAAATGTACAGCTGAACGCAGCTAGATGTATCGCGAAAACAAAAAGCGATGAGAAGCGACTTCAAGTTTTGCTTCTTTGGCTGCACCGACTTCTGCCAACCCTTGGATCAATGCTGAACGCGGCTTACCGCCAAAATAAGAAGGGTCTTCAGGTTTTACTTATTACTTTTAACAATAGGAATCATTTGTCTGTACCTCGGGAGTTGTTTTAGCATATTTTCATTTTGCCTTTTGGCTTCTGATTTCTATTTTTGGTATTTTGTCATATTTTTGCACTTTTCTTCTTATTTTCCTGTTTTCTCCCGTCGCCGATCTCGAATAAACTGGAAAGATATCTGCAAGCCTGGAAACAGGAAGGCACGGTCGTGTTTTATCTCTCTGCGGAGGCCGAAGCTTCAGAGCCAGGTAGTATTAAAAATCCACCTGAGAAAGGAATATATCAGGCAAGATATATGTTTTTCTTTCTTTGAATGATGCCGACAGGCTTTGTTCGCTCACGAGAAAACCCATCCGGCTTTTGAGTATGGCCTCAGACCCCCTTTGAGGACTGTCTTCTCACAATGCTAGAGATCACACAAGTGCGAAGAACGAAAACTATTAATCCGTTTTCACTGATGCCATTTCAAGATTCAAAAGAGGCTAAAACAAATTCGTAGTCATCACACCGAGTGCCCAGCCCATGTGCAATCAAGATTACAAAGAAAGAACATTTCCTTCCACGTAAGTGGTAATGTAAATTTCAGAGTAAGAATAAAAATATGAATTTCAATTCCTTTTTTTATAATAATTCCTCTAATATGGTAATTTTTCATTGTTTATATGCGAACATTGTTCAATTAGCGGAATCACGAAAGCAACGGGGAGTAACATAGCCTCCGAAGTTATCCAACGGTTTGTAAAAGGAATCCGAATCATTTTTTGCGCGTTTCTCCACGACCCTTCCTCCGAAAATGATTGGGCCGAAACGAGTATCAAAACAATCGCTCGCACGACTGAACAGAGAATTCTCACGAGAGGAATCTCCTGCCAGTGGACGAGCGACGTCCTTCCGCTGGGCGGCGCCGGCGCGCGGCCCCGGGGCCGTCACGCGACCTTGTCGGCGAAACGACGCGTCGGAGAGCTTTCCAGGTCATTAGCTTTCTTGTTTATCCGGTCGAGACGCATCGCCACGATTGCTTCGGTGCCTGCCGGAGTCCTGGGTTCGAAGCCCGCCCACCAAACATTTCCATTTTTACACACGCGCACGGGAAAAAATCACGTCGATACGACTTCTGGCGCTGAAAACAACGCCGCAAGCCGCGTGTAGAGATCTAATTCCGTTTTCGAGAAAACAATTCGTACACGTACCCTTTGGCGGCCGTGCTGGCGTCGACCTCTACCAGGCTCCGCAGCCTCGGGTGCACGTCGTCTCCGAGACGAACATTTTGTAGCCATTTTGTCGCGACCGCACGGCCGGCGCGAAAAACGTCGGAGATATTTGACCAAGAGTTAAAAAGTTTTACTGACGATAACAGGCTCGCCGCACACAACGCCCTACACCCCCACCCAACCAGAAGTTCCTTTCACTAATAAAGATCGTCTCTTCACGAAAAATAAGATTTTGCGTTTGGAATGTACAGCAAGAATGGATGTGCAGCATTAATAGTATATTAGTTTGGAATGTATAGCTTTGTACTGTCATTCAACAAACTATTGCCGATAATGAAATATTGCCTCAAGATATCCAAAATTCTTATCATGGTTGAATTGTTTGTAAAAGGCTGCAAGACCTAACAAACATGATTAGACAAGATTCATCAATGACACACACACAAAACAATACAATGAAGATATTAAAATCTGTATTATATATACCAAACATTTCTTCCTTAGTTCTTAGATGACATGCCCTACAATTTAAAAAAATCAAATATCGCAAGTAATGTTCAATACTAGTCAACTGAATGATGAGCAGCTCTTTTTTCTCCACTAACCAGAAAATTATAGCTAATTTGTTTTCTACTTCTACATCATGCTTAAAGCTATTTCCTAACAGCAATGGTTTCTTTCTTTAGACATGTGATATTATTTTTTACTCAATTAGGAACTCCATCACAGTATCACAATAAATCAATCTCCCATTTAAGAAAATTAGTTACAATTTCTGACAACGCCCAGTGATTTTCTTGAACACTCAGCAGTTTTGATGAAAATTAAATGAGTCTGATATCTGAAAAGTATTAAACATAAAAGAGCTCACAGTCTGATTCACACTTTAACATGGACTAACTGGTTACTATTGTCACTCCGCGTTTTGAATTCCCAAAGTTCTAGCTTTTTTAGTTTTGTAAACAAATAACTTACCGAAGGTTGATTCATCTTCACAGTCCCATAAGACTTATTATTTGATAGAACTCCATCTTGATCGTCTGCATGGGCATGGATAGCTACATAGTCACCGGTAACAACCCCTCTGCGATCTGCAGCAATATTCCATCAAATACCAAAAAATAAACAAATGTTTATTAAAATAAAAATGATTTTACTATCATTTTCTCACCTATTAAACTGGGTGGAATTGGTCCACATAACACATAACAACAATTTGCACAAACATTTCCCTGGCTGTATGGGTTAAAACTTTCTTGGCCACGTTTGCTACTGAAGGAACCTTTAATCTGAAACAAGATGGAATATTGATAATTATTCTTTATTATATATATATATATATATATATATATATATATATATATATATACACACCAGAATTATGAAAATGAGGACAGAATACACTTCGCTTAGCACGTCACACACGTTTCTGTTTTTGACATAAAATAAATATCACTTTGAAAATGGCATATCTCAACAGGCAACAAGAATTATATACATTTGTATAACAAGATAAAGATATATTACGAGAAATCCCGGAACACTGGCGCCAATATGTACACACATCTAACTTTTCACCCGTCAGAGAAGTCAAGGGCAGAAACGAAATTGTCATCTAAACGTCGGTCAGTGAAGCATATGACAATTGAATCGATAGATTCATCACGCACACGTTGCTCTGCAAGTCTTCCTCTTCCAACGCTTCCCTATTTCGAACGCCTTTTTATACGTTCATTTGTGTAAGTGCCCGTACCCCTCGACGCCACTTCGCGTGACACCTTTCCAAACGTCGCCAGCGGAGGGCGATAACGCCCACAACCACCCTCATCTGTAATCGGGAGCAACCGCTGACCTGTTTCCGTCCCTGTAACGCCGCACAGCGAGGAGTGAAGTTGAGAGGGAAAAACCAAATGGTCCTTAGTAGAATTTAGCACCTTACATTTTTTTAATCGACTTTTGGAAACAAATCTATAACATTTCATAGCATTATAAAAATTAATATTAAGCATTTTCAACTATTTGTTGGGAAAATTGAGAGGACTCTTTCAGATAAAATTGTTACGATACTGTTTGGATCTTCCCGTTAAAATCAGGAAATAATGGAAACTAATTTAATATTTCGCAATTTGTGAACGACAACAAATACGCAAGCGTAAGAAGTAACGTATGCATGCGTTGAAGGATTAGGACATTCCTCCTCTTCCCGTGACTTTCTATGTACAGCCACAGCCCGCTAGTACAGAGCGATTTTTGTAAGAATGGACCGTTTTGACAGCTAGTGTTGGCAACACAACTGAATGTTCTGCGGTCGTCGTGTCCTAGCCTAATAGACTCTCCTTCCTCCATCCCTTCGTTTGCAGTTGGTTAACTTGTAAATGGCTTCGACGCTTCTTTTGTGATGTCCTCATCCGACGAAAATATAGTGCGCCAAAAGACATTTTCCCCTCATACGTAATTATAATTCAATATTTCACGTACGTGCATATACCTGAGCGAAACTATTAGACTTTCGTATATCTTCACGGCAGCCTCAAAACAAACACTTTACGAAGGGCGAGGCACTCCTCTGAATTACACGTGATGTTCACCAGTTTAGCAAACTGTCGCTTTGGCTCATTCTTATAAAAACCGTTCTATACGCCAAAGCATGCTACGCCTATGCTTAAGCATACTAGCAGACTATGGTAAAGCAAACTGAGGAAGCTGAGACCCTTTGAGATGACCCTGAGCACTCAGGGTTTCAGGAGAAGTTTTTAAAATTGTTCTGAATATTTTTTACTTCATTTTGTCAGAAAAAAATTATAAATTAATAAATACAACCACTCTCAGATTAAATGTTTTCAAACATCATTATTTTGTGTTTGATGTCGCATCCGTGAACTTGCAGGAAACCATAAAATGCAATTTAGGTATAACATCGCTGATTCACGACCATTTAGCACACTATGCGATATCGCATTTTATGGTAAATTGAAAACATTCAGAACTCAACTGCACCGACCGTCACACATTACATACAATTATTAATTTTTTCATCGTCTTGTAATATTTCGCGTTTTTAGCAATTGTCAAAATCTACCATCTCTAGTCTTGAGGCTTACATGTTCATGGTACAAACTATAGCATCTGAGCAACTATTGTGAAGAACATTAACACTACATCATTTCGAGAATATTCACACATTATTCACTTATATATTAAAACTTCAATTTGAAAAGTTAATAAAGGTAATGGACTCACATCTTCGTTTGTTGTCTGATTAGATGTAGTTAGGTAAGTATGAAAACCAGCAAGTCCCAATACACTCCACACACTGAAAAAGCACACTACTCCGACAATGACACTTCCTGGTGATTGTTTTACAGCTTCTAAGAATGTTGAATTATCTTTAGTCACTGTGAAATAGAAACATTGTAAATAATAGAGAAATAATAAAAAGTTCTTCAAAACAAGTAGTAACAAATTGTAACTCATTTACAAAACTCACGTAAAATAAGATGAGTCACTGCACATGCAAATATGAAAACACACAAGAATGCTAAGGAAACAATGAACATGTAGAAGTATCGATAATTTCTCTTCCCTACACAGTTGCCAACCCATGGACAATGATGATCAAATCGCTCTGTAACAAAAAAGACACACATATACACAAATACTTAACAAATTTATACTGAAGGAACAAATATTTTTGCCAATTTAATTTATATTCAAAAATTCAAATTATCTTCCTGCCTGGAGGGCTGAGGTACTCATGCTCCCCCGGCTCACTTGATAATTCAGATTCTTGCTGTGAAAGCCTATATTGTTTTATGATAAATTATGTTCCAATATTATTTTAAGGTTTACTATTCATTTCTGTGATTTATGGTCATGGAATGAAGCATGTTAGAGTATACTTAATACTCTTGCTGGCCCTACAGGTTCATTAAGTCTGTACAAACCCTTTGAATTGTCTGCTATCAAGCCAACTAACATTTTTATGAATTTAATTTATTAAACTTAATATGAACACACAATTCAAAGAATAAGGCAAAATTAACTTAAATCCCTCTAATTCAAACACACAATTCACAGAATAAGACAAAATTAACTTAAATCTCTCTAATTCAACCCCCCCCCCCTTAATTCAGACTTCACCCACTCAAACCTCTAATTCTAACCTTACCAACTCAAATGTAGATGTTTCTGCAAACTGTACATACCTGCCTTCAAAGAGACATTACTAGTATTAGATACCCCTACTGTATTATTTATTTATATGACTATATTAACAACACACAATAATGATGCATCTTACACTTTTAATGTAGTTGTAAAGGAAAATTTAAAGATGTTTCGAATTCTGTTTTGATGCAGCAACAACCTACTAAACCATAAAGTTTTGTACACACCACAGGCATTACTTGTCCTTGAGCAACTTCCAAACCCTCATCACAGATACCTACAAAGTTTGGAAGTTGCTCTCAGGACAAAAACCTGTAACAAAAAACCGCACCTCCTCATGACCAGAGAGATTGTTCACTGTACCCCACCCCTCATCATCATCAGCCTACAATATCTTCTTCACTTTCAGCACCATCTTCAGGATGGGTAAAAAAATACAAGCATTTGAAAAATCAACATCTTCAAGAAGTTGTAGAATTTCTCCAACAGTTAGGTTTCTAAAAAAATGTACGACCAAGTAAATGGATGGTAGCGTTCATTCTAAGCGATCCACAAATGGAACATTTATAATTTAACAAAGTTTCTCAAATATATGGAAATGTAATCACCAATATGCGCTTCAATCTTACATAATTAGCATTCCATAGCTAAGAAAAATGAAAATTGTTTTAAAATTATGTAATAGAGAGCCACTACATACTTTTTTTTTTTCCTGTCATGGTGAGTATTAAAATTTCAATGAAAAAGGCTCAACATTCACTTCATAGCATCGCAAGAAAAACAATGAGGAAATTCACAGGCATAAAACTTCATGGTCTATTGTCAGTATGAACAAGTCTCCACACATATAGAGGCAACGAAATGGGAGATACAGGTCAACAAATGACAGGTCAATATTTGTTCCACTTCTGGAACACCGGGCAAAAACAGATTAAAGTACTGAATCCCAATAATTTTGATGAACCAAAGTTTTGCTCATACAGATGTGGAATTGTGCATAGTTGCTGCAATGGAGTTGCGAAAGGGTATCATCTATCTACAGTGCATATGACATATCTTGCACTCAGTATCAATCATATAGCAGAACAAGTAAGAGTAGAAATTTTCCATCAAGAATCCAAGCTTTAAGAGAAGAACTTCCTGATGTTCCATTGCCACCTCAACTGGTCTTAAAGTGTTGAGGCACGTAGATGCAAGTGGCAGAGTACAACGAGTACTGTGAACACTTTATACAAATTCAGTATATTGTTCAGAATCTACCCATGGTTGCTGCGTGTGATAGTTCAACTAAACAGATTCAAGACTCCTCTGTACCATGTCATTTAATTTATATTAGGTCACACTTCACATTTATTGAAGAAAATTATAGTCAAATTGGAAGGATCAGGGTACCCATCTTCAAAAACACAGGTTTGCTGGAGGATATGAAACAAAAAATCAATGAAGTGCTGGGAAACATTAGGGAAAAGTTAGTTCCAACAACAAAGGACATTCTTCAAAAGAATAATGGCCTAAAAGATACACTGTGTGGCAGATAGTAGAGTGAAAAATTCCAACTCGCTTCCTTGCCAACATTCAGCTAGAGCGTGTGCTGGAATTAAAGCATGCTCCCATTACTTGTATTGAAGTCGAAAAAACTGTCCCAGCATAAAGCTAATTTTAAGATAAGCATCATTCATTTTCCCTCGAAAACTTAAGAGAAAGTTTTAGTAAATTGTTTTGAGGCAAACAATGAAACAAACAGTAACGTGAGATCTAAACTCTGAACTTTGTCATCAAAGATATTATAGTATTAATATTACATACTATTTTGTATTGTATTTGCTTCTTGTTACTGTTACTTTAGTAAATGAATTTAATAGTTTGTAGAACTGTGTTCTTTCAGAATTTCTTAACCCTCCTTTGTACTTTTGCAAGCATTATTTGATGTTTCAAAAAGCCTAACTGAGGTACTTAACTGCCTATTTTAGACACCTGAAAAGTGATCTTTATAATCTAAAACTACAGCAATTTAATCATAGAGGCTCATACTGTCTACAAGTAGGGAGGTTAGTAAAGCTTGGGAAGAAAGAGAGAAGACAGTGAGAGGGAGGATTCGAGAAGCATCAGTGATGGCGATGGCTGCTTACCATTGTCCCTAGCTTTCCCAGTGACAGGGTGCCATTGCAGTTGGGAATACTCATCTCGAGTTGTCATTAATAATCTCGCAACTTGTCATGGACTGACAGATGGGCATTCTGGCAGTTTAGTTGAAACTGCCCGTCGGTGGGGCTGTTTGTCAAAATCGTTCTGAGGTTCCTTTACGAAAGGGCTGCTTCTAGAGAAGCATTGTCTGTTTGTTGGGTTGTTCCAGAAAGTTGTGAAAGTCCAAAATGTTGTGAAAGTCAAACTTTCATACATCAAGACTTGGGGCCACCACATGACAGTAGAATACTCCATATTTTTACCATTATAATTATGGCCCACAGCACAGAATTCACGTGGGCTTGGTGGAACAACTTCACATTACTGCATTTACAGCACGTCTATTGCACAAAATGTAAATCATATTGAAGATATTACATAATATTACATTTTACAACACGCTGTTAATATATTTCATCTCTGTAAAACATAGTTCTGGCTCCGGCTAGACTTTAGGGACACTGTATTACACGTGTAAGGTGGGCTCGCACTCTGATATGCATCATATCTGGAAGGCACTTCATGCACATAGTGACCACTGAGAAGCATTATTATCCAATAAGCTGTGATCAAGATTTGTTAGTCGGTCCGGATGGCCGAGATCGCTAAGGTGGTAGTGCCTTAGCGACCACGCACCGAAGGATCGCGGTTTCGAGTCCCGCCTCGGGCATGGTTGTATTGTGTTCGTCCTTTCACACCCCAATCATCATCATATCGTGTCATCCTCATACATACCATACCGTTACAAGCAATAGTGGTCGCTAATGACCTAGTAGTTGATGCGACCTTAAATTTAAAAAAAAAAGATTTGTTACTCAAATGTAACAAATCATGGATAAGGAAAAGTACCTGCACATTTGCACAGACCCCCCCACACACACGCGCGATGAGAGTGGCATCACAATTTCCCTGCCCCTGTCATTCAGGCACCTAACACTCAGGGTTACACACAGTGCAAAGAGAAGGGAAAATCCAAACCCCCAAGGGGCAAATTGCAGTATTAAAGAGTCAAGTTCATTTTCGCTTATGCAACACAGTGTGGATGAATCCAACGAATACCTTTAGAAATATTTTCTTGATCAATTTCCTTAGTTTAAACATTTCAAGCCATGGAAATCATAAACAAGGCTCATATTGTAAATTAATTGTATACCTTGCAAGAAAAAAACTAATACTTTTCTTGCAGGGGACACGAAACTCTCTACAAGGGGACAATCCCCCAGCATTCCCCATGAACTTGCATTCTGCAGCTACACAAGGCTTCATGAAACATTGTGTTTGAATGTACTAACAATTATTGAAACTCATAAGAGTGTTGCACAAAAGATATATTTAAAGCTTCAATACTATCAAATAAAGTAAAAACACATACATACCCACACAGTTGTCACAAAGACTGCAATGCGATGCTCGAGGTGGTCGGAATATTTTGCAAGTAAAGCAATACTTCAGTTTCACTGGCTGGCCCCGTACAAGAATCTCTTTCGTTCTTGGAGGAGGCCGGTACGTAGGAGAATTTGTACTGTTGGGAACTTCTATACAAAAAGAAAAACCATTGTACTACAATTACAGATGAGGAGAAGGCTTCATTACTTTAATCAATATACACCATATACAAATTATGTAACTGAATTGATATTTGTTAAAATATCCGAAGTTACTTTATGAAAATTAATGTATTCAGCATTTTAAATTTGACATGCATAGAGCTACAGTTTGGTATTAAAAGAAGCTCAAATATTGATATTTTTGTTGAAGTAGCGTCAGTTACTGTCACGAACAACTTATTGAATATATCTAAATCATATTGTGTTCACCAGCTTTGGAAAAAAGAGTCAACACACTCCAATGACACTACTGTCATCACAACAAACTTTAACATTGTAAATTATTCTTCCACAATATTATGGAACTTTTTTATGTGTAAAATAAATTATCATTACAAAACATGTGTAAATTATGTTTTGTAGATGAGCATTAAATCATTAGCTAAGCAATTTGGCCCCTTTAGCGATTTGCTTAACCATGATCTGCGAAGTCCAGCAACTTGAGACACTGCAGATTCCTTGACGGGTGACTCTGGTTCCCCCCGTCACTAACAGGGGGGAACCCCTGGCTAAAGGAATAAAAGGCACTGGCTGCAACGTGACAAAAAAGCAAAAACCTTAAGGAGGATTCCCCAGGTATGCACAATGCCTAAGATTGGATAAGAGAAGTGTTGCAAAGATGCAACAATTTTTTCCCCCCTGGATTATTTGACTTGCCCTTAACATTGTTTCTTTTATCTCTAAGAATTCCACATCAAAATGTCAGTTTGGAGGAGGACTATCACAAATTGAAAAGTGCTATTTTCTCTGTTCATATGCTATGACAGTTCCAAAAGACAAGCTTTTTTGACGGGCATGTAATGACAAGTGAGTTTCCAACAACAATCAAATGAGAAGCACCCTCCTTCCAACATCACATGTATTTATGATTGAATATTCAAAAACCTTCCATACAATCCCTGAAAAATGGCTGTTTTGAGACATGAGAGTTTTCTACAAAAACAAAGAACAGTGAAGAAGTGCCCAAAAGTCTCAAAAATAATAAAGGTTAGAAAAACATTACTTAATTTCTCTCCTTATTCCTGATGTCAAACAGAAATGTAACTAAACAGCTATTCATACAACTGATTATAAAGTATATAAAATCAAAGTTATGCAACAGGTGCCCCAATTTACACTATAGGAAGCAGAAACAGTCAAGGGTTATACTGAAATCTGCATTTGTCCAAGTTGAAATTTAAAGCATTGGTGTATGCTTTGAAACCTCCAGAAACCATACGTTGAATGAAAGGAGTTAATTATTTAAAAAAGGAGTAATGGTGCTCCACTAACACATACCTTCTCATATTATTTCCAATAGTTACTTAACCTTGTAATTCTAGTTGAATTTGCAAAAGAGTTTCCAACCTGCACAAATTTTACCCCAAACAGGGACTAAAGTTCAGGCACACAATTTCCTTGTGAAACCAACTTTTCCACTACACTACCCACCTGTCTGCATGTGACCAATGCTCATAATGTATTTTTTTTAAACGTTCTGCAATGATAAAAATGTAAGATGTTTTCATGAAAATTAGATCCTTACCATTTTATTACGCTCTATTAGAGGGAAAAAATTTGATGTCATTTTTTTGAAAATCATGTTTATGCATTTTTAAAATATTGATATTATTTTACTGAAAATTATGTGAAACTATTCATATGTTCAAAACTTGATTATGACATTATGACATGATTTAATTTTGAAGAAAAGATTTCATAATTAAAATATCCATTTTCAAAAATGTAGGTTACCATTGAAAAAATTTTAATTTTGGCTAGTTTCAAAATTTCTGGGAACATAACGAAAATCAGATTGCACCATTTTTGTAATAGTACTTTCCTCTATTCAAATCCCAAATTTTAAGAAATTAATTTTTCAGAAAATTTGGAAAAAGTTCTAGGATCTTCATGTTAAGTAAAATCCAAAATTAAAAATTTAGTTTCAAATTCACATAGCCTAGAATTAAATCAGATCGATAGAGCAATATCCATTTTTAGGGAATGACTTGGATGCTTTTTCACTTTCAAAGAGACCTCTAAAGTATGCATTTCTTATGATTAAACATGAATGTTATCAATTTTTTGCAGCACTATGTATACATAAAAGCAATTCTACTAGAACAGTAAATTCACATCTGAAGTAAAATCTTCTAAATAACATTTTTACTTTCCCACAAAGTTTAAAAATAGATCAATACACTGTTACACTACATTTAACTTACTGACACTGACTTATTGGACATTGACTTAACATGGAATTGATTTTCAGTTAAAAGTTCTCGTAAGGTATTAATATTTATTAATAATTTTGATTGAGATCTTTTAGAAATCAAGATATTGGAACAAATGGATCTATTGTCACTAATATCACTCAATATTAAATACTAGTAATAGTAGTAGAAGCATGTATAATGTAATTAAGTTATTTGTTTGTGTAAAGTAATTTTATTTACAGATTCAAACTATACCATTTTCACCAAGTAAACTCTTTCAAATGCGTGGATGATAAAATTTATGCCACCCTCAACCAGTGATTACCACTAAATGCTGGTTCAAAGAAGAACTATGAAACTCGCAGACAGTTTTGAACTTGCTAAAAACATTTAATTTAAATAAAATTTGATTCAGTGTTAAAAATAATTATCTTAATTTTTAATATTTGTTTGTTCGATTTAAAATACTAATCAATCCAAGGAGTGTCAAGTCTGCATATCTTTCAACCTTTAAGATAGCTTTTTTATTTATAGATATTTTCCCAAATTAATAATACTTCTATTTTGTACGTTTATTTCAGTAATGCATATTCTTGGTTTGCAGAATTTTTCCTTTCTATGTCTGCAACAGTTAACTATCTGATATGAAGTTGTATAAGTATCTATTACAGTGAACATGTTAAGAAATTATTAATTGAAGGATTGGGTGCACGAATGTTATATGGTACGAAAAAATTGACTTTTTTGCAAAATTAATAAGGATCCATCACTAAAAAAACAATAAGGTAATACTATTAGACAGGAAAGAATCCCCCTTGCACAGGAGCACATAAAAAATATTGAAAACGAAAAATTTAGAATTAATTTTAAATTAATGTTGTGAGTTTTCAAGAATTCAGCAGGAACACATGCAGCCACCAACAGGTTACCACTGTACATAAGTCAAAAAACCACACTTCTAGGCCCTTAATGCCCTGAATTAAGTTTCTTAGATTGTAATATATAAAGTAAGACCTTTTTGGACATTCTACAACATTCTTAGAGGTTTAGCACTTTTGGGTCATATCACAGGTGCTCAAAAACGCCAAGAATCTTGAAATTTAAGCATAATTCAATTATTTGATATTCTGAGCTATCTATTTACAGTGATCAAACAGTAACTATTTCTGTTTGTTAGTAAATAGACTATATAATTATCAAAGAAGATCCTAGAACGAGTGAAAGATATGACAGTTTATAGAGATACTGAAATATATAGATAGAAACTTAATTCTACTATTGGGCTATAGGGACAACTATCTAGTAGAAAGTAAACTATTGATACATGAAATGCTACAACCCAAAAAGATTAAATAAGAAACAATTCAAAATGCATTCAATATTATAAGTGAGTATTGAAGAATTAAACCAACAAAGAATGAATAGAAAAATATGAATTAATACAAAAGAGAGAAAAATAAAACACTGGAGGGAAAATAGAAGGCTCTCCACAAGGAAGTGGTGAAAAGAGTCCTCAAATTAGCAAGAAACAGAAAGAGCCTCAGCCCAGATAGTATAAAAAAAGAATTCATAAAATAAGAGACTGAAATAAAACTGAAATCAACTGAAAAAAAAATTACTGGAGATAATCGATTAAATATAAACAGAACTAATCACTTCAAAGGAATCATAATGAAATAAAACAAAAAGGCCCAAAAATGAAATGTGAGAATCATAGATGTATCACAATGCAAGCAGCTAGATACAAAATATATGCAACGAAATTACCAGGAATGTTCCCAAATAGCAAGGACTTTCGTCTCCAATTTTGACAAGGTCATTGGTGGTGTAAACTTGCTCTTCATCTGACTCTTAGGTTTATCTAATGGTGGTGGCAAATTTCCTTGTGACTCGTACTTTGTTATATCTGTGTTTAAAAAATTTACCTCCAAGTGATTGCTAAATGTACGTTCTGATTTTAATTTATGATTGTTATAGTTTGAAGATGTATGTAGTAACATCATTTAATGTGCCATGATAAATTAATTAAGTTTCCTTTTCTGGAAAACCTTGTTTTGATAGGTGTTACCTGATATCAATAACATAAAACGGTTTTGAATACCAGGTTAAACGTACTTAGTAAAAGAACATTGGAAAACAAAAATGTGGTTTTTGAAAAGAGAGGGAAACAACTGATGCAATTTTTACAATAGAGTAATCAAAAGAAGATGCAAACAAAATTTACCAATAAGGTGCTGTTTGAGGATTATGAGAAAGCTAGGACATTGATCAGAAAAAGTCTAACAAATTCTCAAAGAAAAGAATATGGAGTTCCGTTAAAAACCAATCCAAACAAACAAAAGATTCCATCAGGGCTGTCAGTTATAACCATTGTTGTTTATTTATCTAAATGACATGATGATGAGATGAAATAATTTTGAAACATAAAAGAACAATAAAGATGCTTTGCTGATAATCAGGTGATTCCAGTAACAAGAAGAAACTCCAAAGAGTAGACACACAACGAACACGAATAGTAGACAGGGCATCAACTGATGTCAACGCAGAGCCTCTGACTGGGAGGTCTTGGGTTCAATTGCCCCAAATCATTAAAATCGCTAATTAATCAATTCAAAGAGCAGCTTTTAACGTATTTAATATTAGTGAAACCGGCAATGCTTCGCTATTGCAATGTATTACACATCACAAGCTACAGGTCACGTGATTGTTAAACAAGTTTTATGCTACACTCTGCAAACATTTCAATAGACAAAAGACTTTCTCAATAGTGTGGTTCCATCTCTCCCTCCATGTCTTTCCGTATCTCTGTCTTTCGCTCTATCTCTGTTTCTGTTTATTCCTCTCTCTGAGTCTCTGTCTCTCCCAGGAGAAATTTCACAATTTAAAGGGCAGAATCCACAATATAAACGTCTTAACAATCATACTTTAGTGTGCGGGTTGCTTAGAAAGCAGCGTTGTGTGTTTATGTGTGCAGGCATATGCACATTCCCATTGTACTATGCCTATATTCTTCCCGGAAGTGCAAGCAATAAGTTGACAATGTTTTATCACAATTGGATGAATGGTTTAGCAACGCATTAAGCACAAACCAAAAACAAACAAACCTCTTTTATTTATTAGATTGCAGAAAATCATGGAATGAAAACATCACCAAAAAAGACAAAAGCTAAGGGAACACTAGGCAAAGAACATCAAAGACTAACTAGTAATAGATGGAAAAGGTAACAAATTAGGGAACCAGACTAGCATAAGAAAATTATTTTTGAATGAAATTGCTAGATATAACAACATTAATAAGTGTACCAAAAGCTATTTCAAAAATATGACCTCTGAAACAAAAAACTAAGACATTTCACTTTCAAACATTACAAAATCCTCAGAAAAGAAAATACCTTAGCGAAGCTACCAAACAAACTAGAGTTTTAGAAGAGAAAAAAGGAAAATCTTCACAAGCACTGCTTTTCCACAACAAAGTGCAATTTTGACCATAATGGCTCATTAGTTTCAGAATAAATTTACTACTGAATAAGCTTTCAAAAAAACTGTCACTTGCTTCTGAACATAAACATCTTTTAAAAAAAGATTTCACTATTAACAAAATATGTACCAAACAGCAAGTTATAATTAAAAAAAATTAGTCAATCAAACATTTGATTAGGCCAAAGATTTCAACATTTTTGACAAAGAGCCATTCTTCTAACAATTTCAACATAGTACTACTCAATTCTCATTCTGGTTTACTTATGACACGGAAATTAGAGAAATTGATGTACAAACATAATCACATTCCCTAGGACATTTCATCACTTTGTTTTCTTCAACAATTAAGAAATAAAAATGTTAGAAATAAAAAACCTAAAACATTTACTTGAACTAATAATACAAAATTGTGATTATATTTATTTTCAAATACCTAAATAATCTTTTTCTTTTCCCTTTTGTGTCAGTGCACTTCCAGTAACAAAAATGTTTTGTGAAAAATGCTGAAAATATACCACCCTCGCTTGTATGAAAGGAATTTAATATTTTTTCAAACTTTGAGAAAGGCCATAAGAATGCATTACTGGACACACACAGCCTAGGGGGCCTTCTCTTTGGCATCTTTGATAAGATAATTGAATGTGGTCAATCATGGGACTGAAGTATATAATTATTTAATATTGACAAGTCAAGAAACTTTTCTTTACAAAATAAAACCAAAAAGGATCCTTTCTTAATTGAAAACAAAACAATAGTCCAAATAACTCCTCTTCAACGACGTAAAATCTCTTCTGAGATTGCATAAAACCATCACTTAATATCCCCAAAAAATAAGCAAGTTCATTTATGATCCACAATACCAATTTGCTTTTCAGTATATGCTGCTTCATCTGGTGTGGCACGTGGAATGACTCCAGGATCACTGAAACTGGTCCGCAACAAGGAACACATCACAAACAAAAATAGTAGTCCTCCAACAACGGGAATGGCAGGTGTCAGCTTCACGGCAAGATATGGACAGCTAAAAAAGAAAACAAAATGTTTAATATGTAAGAAGTGTGATGAATTATTTCAACAAATTTGAATACATTATTCTACTTACTCATATGCAAAAAATAGACCGCATGTTCCAATAATAAGACACAATGTAACATAAAAAACACCAGTTTGTGGGGCCATCATAATTCGTCCATCACAACAAAAACGATTTCTTCCTGGAAACACCTCCCATTTCCTTGTGACATGCGGCATTTTCTTTGGGTTTTCTTGTGAACCTTCTAACGAATGTTCGGTTAATACGGGTTGATATAAATAACAAACGCCTTTCACCATTTAGCCGAAACGTCTAGTTTACGGCGCAGGGCATCAGTAATTACGTCATTGTTTTATATCATAGACGTCAATGCTTCATATCACACCTGATTTTCATTTTCACGGCATTCCCACACAGAAAAGCCATTTCAAAAAATCACAAAATATCAAACATTCACGAAAAAATGACACCAAACAAGGAAACTTTAATGCGTAAGTTGTCAACAGCAAATTGCCTCTTCCTTGCTAACCACGCATTCATATGTTCTCTAAATTTGTCAAGACTGTTCACTAGTCACTCCCGTCACCAGACTCTTACTCTTCCCTTGTAAATGTGCGACCTTGGTTCCAATACAAAGTTCTTAGTAGTTAAAATTTCAATCACCAGAATGCAGCAACAAATGTGATTTTGTGTTTTGGTCAGATACGACACCGGGAATTTCAAATTCACTGTTCATCATACACCGAAATTAAACTGAAATAATTACAAAATTTCTAAGCAAGTGCTCTTATTAACATGACGTAACGCCATTTTTTGAGACTGCTAAAACTACTTTCATATATACTTTTGACGTTTTCAAAAGTATTTTGTTTTAAATATCTCGCACGTCGTTAAAATTCACATTTTAGATGTATTTCATTGTTTACTATGTTACTACATAGATTTCAAAGTATCCTTCGTAATCTTTTTTAAAAAACTCCCTAAGTTTTTTAGTATGCAGAAACTAAAATAATGTATTTTCAAAAATTTAGAACCAAATTTTCTCAAGAAAGGCTACAATTTCCCCCTCAGAAATGCCCATATTGAAGAAAGATAAATTCTCTACCACATTCCGAAAGTCTGATTTCGACCAAGATATTTGACTCCCAAAAAATAAAAAGAATACTGGAAATGTAGGGATTTTTGAATCAGGCATTCTACAAAAACTTCCCCGTTTACCCCGCACGATTGCATTACTTTCTCTCATCACAAAGAAATTCGTAAGGCGAGAAAGTAAAAATTAACTGTTGCGCAGAAACGAAAAGTAAACCATCACATTAATTGAAATGTTCTCTAAATTGTTTGTCCTATAACATTTTATAGATGTTTGTGTAAAACAACGAAAATGTGCATTTTGTGTCTTCGCGTCTGTAAGATTTGGCAGGTGACCTGCTTAGAAATTGGCTACCAACGCAAGAATTTTGGATAAACAATGCGTTTATTTAGGCAAAATTAAAAATATGATCAGAATTGTATGCAATGTATCAAATATATTTCAGAAATTGTAGATCCTTGATACCGAAAAAGAGGATTTTACTTTCCCGTATCCGTACGTATATACGGAGTAATATGATATGATGCAGGAAATCGATTTCGAGATATCAAAAGAAATACATGGGGTCCTCTGATTTTACTCCCGAAAAAGTGTTTGTTTTTTTTAAACGTCCGTCTGTTTGTCCGCCTGTCCGTTTGTCTGTCTGTCCGTCCGTCTGTAAAATTGTCTGTGAACACCAACACCTAAACCATACGCAGGATTGTTTCCAAACTGAAGAAATTCTTGTTTATCAGGTTCGAGTCGAAGCTCTGAGATTTTCAAAAATAATCTTTAAAATTTGGGGCTACTTTTCATGACGCACCACGGACATTTTGAATATTTTCTCAAAAATAGCACAAAATTTTTTTCTATACATTTCTTGTAAGAATAGAGTAAAATTCTCTTATTAAAGTGGCTTAAGTCCGATTTTCAGGTTTAACTCTGAATTTTCGAAAATTTCAAAATTTTTCGGGCGGCCTCTTACGACATAACTGAAGAAAGAGATTTTTCCTTCAAAATTAAATAAGTTATCCATAGTGAGTTCTTTCATTAAGATAATGCACTTTTTTTTTAATTTTAATAGTTTTCGCCTAACATTACCAGTATGTGTGCAATTTTAAAAAATTATAAAAACAAGTTTTTCTTAGAAACGGCTCCAATTTTTTTTAAACTTTTAGTAGGGAGAGTGCTAAATGAACTCTATGAGATGACATAAACTAATATTGTTCTATTCTTTTATTTTGTTTTTTAATTGACTCACACTTTGTTAATATTTATTTTAGCGACAATTTGTTTACATTATTACATGTATTAGAACATGTGCTTTAAATAATGTCAAATAAAGTTTCTCGAAAACTCAATCGTTTTCTGTGAAAACTAGCTAAAATTCCGCATTTTCAGAAACGCTCAAACGCCATTTTCTCAATTTTTTTTCTTCAAACTTTTCGAACGGATAATGCTAACTGCACTCTTCAATATGAAATGATATTCATTTCAGGTTTTTTTGTTGTTGTTTTTTCAAAAATTACAGAAATGTAATTTTTTTGAAAGATCTTTCACGCCGCCCAATTAATTTGCTAATTTTCAGCAATTTGTAAACATTATTGTATTTTTGAGATAATGTGCTTCAAATGACTTCTAATGAAGGTTTTCGAAAACTCAAAAACTTTCTGAGAAAAAGAACTTCAAATTTTAAATTGACACTAGCGCTTAATCACCATTTTCTTAAAAATGGCTAAAAATTTTTGAAAGGAAATTGACATTTAGGATCACTTTTAATATTCTTTAATATTCTAAAAACTATTTCCGTTCAACGATTAGGAAACCGAATAGTTAAGAAATTTTTACAAAATGTACTTTAGGTGGCGATTGATGGCAGCTGACATGAATATGCGGCAAGTTCATTTAGCTTGCTGAGAGCAAAGGAAATAGAAAACTAATAAGGGAAAGTCTGTGCCATTCTGTAGCACCACTACTTGTCCTTTCTCGTATACGTACGTATATACGGAGTAATATACATAGCAACTTTCTCGCCCCTATTTTCACGCAAAATTACAGGAAAATTCACAAACTTTCGAAAAATTGAACATGGTCTTATTTCAAAACCAATCTTTAAGGAACAGAATTCATTAAGGGAAAAAATCTCAATCTTTAATATTTTAATTGAAGGAAGACTCCGAAAAAAAATTGAATTTTTGCAATTTTCGAAAAATTAGTGTTTTCAACAAACATGAAACTTACACCATTATTTTAAGTGTCCTTCACACTAACCTACCAATAAACAAATTCAAAAACGATGAAGCCATTTTTTGATAATTTGGATAATGCCCCAAAGGTTTCATGTAAAATACCCCCAAAAATTAAAATATCTGTTTTAAATTCAAGGGGCCGCAACATAAGCCAGATCGATAGAGAAATATCAATATTAGAGAAAATTGGCTGAACGGTTTATGCGCTAGCGCTGTTCACACACGGATGGTCAGGCGGACGGACAGACAGATGTTCTGCTTTCAATTTTCAAGGACCAACAAAGCATGGATTCTGACTAAACCAAATGTTAGTGGATATTCTTGTCTAAAATTATCCACTTTTTTGTTACCAGGCATGTAATAAGAGTATTTCTACCGAAAATTCGCCGTTTTTCGGCAGCAGTACATAACTTTCTATCTACTTCGTAGCGAGAAAGTAAAAGAGATGCCATGGCACATGCGACTCTGGCGTATTTAAAAAATTGCCTATGTGTTACGCAAAATTACTCGAAAACTATTCATATTTTCAAAAAATTGTACGTGACCTTATTTCAAGTTGTCTTAACATAACACATTTCACTTACAAAAAATTCAACATTTAATATTGTAGAAGTAAGAAGACCCCGAAAAAAATTGAACTTTTGCAATTTGCGAAAAATTATGAATTTCAGCGAAAAAAGGACTCGCCTATCCCATAAAGCGTCATTTATACTGTCCGAGGGCTAAGGTTAAACAAAAATGTTTTGAGACAATTTAGAAAATGTTGAGGCCTACTGTCAAGTACCCCTAAAATAAAAACATCCGTTTCTAACTCAGGTTTCGATTTCCCTTAAATTGTATTTTTCCACATTTGTCAATTAAAATGTGAATATGGTATTTGTTTACTTCTGTAATATTCTTAAAAACATATTTCGAATCTAATATTAGGGCACCGAAAAATTGAGAAAATTTGACACAATTTTGTTTTAGCACTGATAGGTAGCAGCTGGCAAGAGGGTGGGGCAATACCGGAAAAATAGACTAAAAATATTAAAAACTAACTAGTGCGAGAACGTCTGTGCCACCTGTAATTTCCCGCAACATTACAATACTTTCTTTAAACCGTGGAAGCAATAGGCGAGAAAGTAGGTAACTAGTAGTGGGTCAGAATGGCACAGACTTTCTTGCATTAGTTAGTATCCTTGTCCCCTCGTTCTTCGCTACCACACCTCCGTAGAGCATAGGACCTCGATGAGATACTTCCATCTAATTCGATTAGCCGCTGTCCCTTTGATTTCCTTCCACGACTTTCCGAAGTTCTCCTCGTAGACCATCCTGCACTATCTTGGTCTTCCTGCAACTCATTGTCCCTGCGGTTTTCATTCTAAAGCTTGCCTTTCTATTGGTCCTTTAGGTTTTCTCAGTGTGTTGGGTCAGTAGAATTTAAATTATTACATCTGGATTAAATTTTCTGTTAAAAAATTTTACAGTTTATTTAGTTTTGAAAAGAAGGTTTGGTTGTCCTAGGAGTTTGATATCACCTTTTTCTTCTGTCGATCGTAAAGAAAATGGATATTCTAGGAACGAAATAACGGAATTCATTTTCAATTATATCTAAACCCAAACTAATATGAATGCGTTCACTGAAACTTATCTCCACTGAACATATCCGTGGCCATTTCACTTAAACTCGAGAGGATATTACTACCGTGGCCAACGAAATAGAATCTATCTTTGTCTCGTCGGCCATAAAAAGATGTAGTACTGCCAACTTCCACGGTCAACAATGCAAAATCCATACATAATGAAGTATTTCGATTACATGCTTTTGCATATTCCTATGTAAAAATCATAAACATAATGTAGAAATTCGGTGCAAACTTATAGGAAAACTAAAATACGATTTTCATATGATATATCATCACAGTTAGTAGTCTCTGCAGGAATGGTTCATACACTTTCAAGAGATGCTTTGCGCTCTCTGGAGACTATCGCTATGTGTCGGGTGCGTTGAAAACCTTGACGCAGCATGTCTCCTTTTATATACAGTGTTCATTGTATCGTTCGCCGAAGATTCGTGTACTTCGGCTCGAATACATTCTGGGCACCTACGGAACATATTCTGATTTACCTTTGAAGTAAGTCTCGAGGAAGTGGTGCAATTTTCTCTTCAATAGAGCGCCGGAGCTGTTCCTCCGAATGAGGGGTTTCTGCATACACATGATCTTTCAAGTGCCCTCAAAGGAAAAAGTCGCAAAGAGTAAGATAAGGTGATTTAGGAGGTCATAATCCACAACTAATTATTCTATCGTACTTTTAGCTTTATTTAAAACGTTCAGCGATCGAAATTCAGTGTGAGCAGATGCCGAATGTTGAAAGTAACCATAGATGCCTAAAATATTTTCTTAGAGATTGTAGTCATTTGGCAGAGACTGAGTCATCTTCTCTTTAGTCAAGACATGGCGCTTTCGACACTTTTGTTTGTGCTTTAAAATTTCATGGGTGCTAAGTTTCTTTACAAGCTTCAAAATTGTCGACCGATATGGAATATTCACGCCCGGAAATTGTTAATAAACCTCTTACGGCACTTACTGGCAGACTCTATTGGAACGAAGGTGCCGTAAAGAAATATTCTCTGCTTGTAAAGAAAATGTCATGATGCACAGTTGAAAGCTCTCGGGACACTCGTGTGTCGGCCGGTCGCGCCGGATGAACGGGGCCTTGTTGATAAGTCCCCAGGAAAGTGAGGGCTCGATCGCTGAGGCAAGCGGCGCGTAATCTTCGGCGAAAGATAAAATAAACGCTCGGTAAAACGTTGACTAATAACATGAATACATCCACCCCGCGATGCCCCGCCTCTTCTTTGCTGACAGCCACGGTTTTATCTTAGCCTACATGCGAAAGTTGAAGTCGAAGGTGTAGCAAGGCTGTGTGAACGCTCGAACTCGCAGTAAACGAGCTGTTTAATTTCTTGTATCTGATTTGCAGTTTATGCAAGAAAATTGTGATGCCATTGGTTCATACATTTTTACCAACATGGATTTAACAGGATTTTCTGTTGAAGGAGTAACCAGAATGTTCAATACATACCTTTTCTCTACAGTGGTGCTTTCAATCCACCCAGTAGTGTAACTTTCGGGCCCACATAGCCTGCAATGCGGGCGGGCCCAGATTAAAGTGGGCCTAAGTTTTGGAGATTTTTTTTTATTTAACCTTTAATAGCTATCGTTAATCTACACCTTTAATTGTTATCAGCGGTCTGTGATACCGCTCACGCTTAATTCCTATAATTCAACGTATTATTTGACCAAATTGAACTTCTCTGCTAGTCTACAAATTATTTGCTTTTATCAAGGTTTATGAAGGCAAAACTTCGTATTCGAGTCTCATTAATGGAATTTTGACAAGGGGTCAAGACACATACACCCACACTAGAGAACCAGGGTAAAGCTCGGTGAAAGAGAATGAGTGAATGGGGCGGAGTGAGAATGAATGAAGTGGAAGTGTGGTAAAGGAAATAATCTCCACAAAAGTTTTAATAATTTTATTAATAACTTTCCAAAGTTAACTTTCGGGAAACACTTTTCCCATCCACAGGGGATCTCTAGCAAAATGGGGAAATGAAACATTAAGATAAGTTGAACACAAAACGGGGGGGGGTGTACAGTGAATTTAAAGGGGGTGTACAGTAAAATTATAAAAATAAAAAAAAATAATACAATTATTAAAACTTTTGTGGAGATTATTTCCTTTACCATACTACTATGGATTACCACAAGATATCTGCTACCACCACGGCATGAATGAAGTGGAATACCATGGGGTAGGTGTGACAATATGAAGAGACGGCCGGCTGAGGTGACTAAGGGCTTCGATTGATGTTACTGCGAGTGCCTCTGAACGGGAGGTCCTAAGGTTCGAGTGTTGACGGCGACAGGATTTTCGACACTAACTAATAGCTAGGTCGAATTCACTCGCATTCTGGAGGAAGATTCTTAGCTTTCCTCGATAATCACAAAAATATTAGAAAATGTTTTTACTCTTTAGAAAGCCAAGTAAAGTTTTCCACGCGACAATACAGGATCGGGCAAGTACAACCCCACTCTTTGCAATATTATTTAACCTTCCTGGATTTGTTATGAGGTACAGTGGGGGTTTCGGAGGGACCAGCTAGCTGGGGAACAAAAATTGAAAAATTATTTGTATACTAAAAAGAACTGGATTATTTTCTGCGTTCTTACGTACCCCATGAAAACCAATTCTGAGACAAAAAAAAAATAAAACGAATATTTTCACCTTTGAGTAATAAATACCATTTATACCATTGGAAACAATTCTGTAGGCTTAGACTTCACTTCGATACATGGGAATGTCGTTCAATGTCATGTTTACGTATTGAATATCTTAGCGAACCGACACCTTCAGTAATATCACATGGTGTATTATTTACAATATTAGTTTAGAGTTGGGCATTGATGTACATACTTCCAGATACAGCAAACATTTAAATTGTGCGTCTGGATTGTAATCATTGGCAGTTGTCGAATGACTTGCGCAATTCTTTCTAAAATTTTAAATTTGGTTGTTTTTTAAATTAATTCACGTAAGATTGTAGGCTAGCGCGTTGTGATTTTTGTTGTTCATTTATTTCAAGCTATTTTACTTCAGTTAATTTAAAATGTTTGTTCTTTATTTGTGCCATAGCACAAGTTTTCCACTACTACTTCAGCGTACCCGTGCGAGAACTCTCGCATGTCAAACCCTACATTCTTTCCTATTCTTCTATTTCCCTTCTAAGTGGGAAAGTTCGTAACGAAACGTATTTATGTTTTAAAACGTATAAATGTAACTTCCATTGTACTAATCAAATAAAAAATGCAATTAATGAGGAAATGCAATTTTCACTCAAGATTTACTCAGTATTATGGAAATTTCTATGAACAATTCACAATACTCCCTTAAAAATATTTGAAGTAATTATTCAAAGTTAGATTTTTTCGATAGTCACAAAAATATTTTTACTCTCGAGATAGCTTCACAAGATCAGCTGACTTGAAAGCTTCATCGAATTTCTGCTGGTAACGAAAATACTGATACAGGTAAAACACAAACCAAACCTATCAAGACACATCTTCACGCTTCCCTGTACACTCACATCCCTCCAAGTTACTTGTAGACCTCGACAAAACAAAATGAATGTTATTATGCGTTTCAAACATAAGAAACAATCTTCATCGGTATCAAGCTGCTATTAATAGTACATCTAGTTGATGCAAGAGTGAATCTTGAATTAATAATTATGCTAATAAACCTCGTCATTCGTCATAAAGCATTCTAAGCGTGACGTCACAAAGATGGTCACCAACACCAGGGGTTGAAATCTAGGTAGCATTAGTAGCATCGATAAGTGCAGAATCAGCAAAAATTGAATAGAATGTCCAAGAATATCTTACCTGTAGATTACGGCGTGAAGAACGTTTCTTTGAGGCCTTTGGCCTCAAAATATTAGTTTCAAACTCCTAGAATTCTTTGTTTACGTGTTACAGCTGGCCGAGTGTGGCGGGTTGCATTTAACATGGATATTTAGACAACTGCTTACCATTTTTAAAGTCAAAAAAGCAATTTGTCATGTCTCTGTGAAATTCTCTCCTTAGAGACCTCATTAATAAAGAATGGTTGCATGTGACAGCCATAAACAAGTTTGTATACTATACTACAATTGTTACTATTACACTTTGAAATCGTGAAAAATACATATTTTTAAAAAAATTCAAAAACTAAAACGAAAACAGATTTCTGCAATTAAATTTAATGTATTCACATTCTACGTAAATGTCACAATGCACAATGCATATTTTAGGCATAAACAAAATTAGTTTATATTAACCCGAAAGAAATGGCAACAATCATTATTGCCTTCTGTTATCACTTCGGCTTTACAACAATGAACGCTAATTTGTATGGGATATACATTTTGCCAAGTAGCATTGTTGGTGTCGCTAGCACAAAAGGGAAAATAGGTACTCTCTTTCTACATGCATTACTTTTTATTTCCACATCTTACTAAGTAAATAGAAATCATCTATTCCTTTTCATATGTAACTCAAGTAAAGGACGCAATTTAAAACAGGATTTGAATAATTTCTAAAAGATTAATTTTAAAACTAATAACAAAACCTCAAGAAGAAACAAACAGAGAAATATGAAATAATATACAAATTCCAACTCACATAGAATCCAACTGTTTCAAAACACCACTAAAATTACGTTCAAGAAGCACATGAAGTAAGGAGTGGGCGTCTTATGTTTTAATGCCAAATTACTAAAAAAAAATACTCATATGTTCATATAGTGCAACATGATATGATTTGAAGATGTTTTTGATGAACATTATTTCATTAAGAAAAAATTGTATCTTCATAATTGTAATTGTAGGATGACACTAAAAAAATTTGAACATCTTAAACATCCAAGCAGTCAACTCACCAACAAAACTTCATAAAAAAGGATGGATTTGCTTCCAGAAAAAAAATTATTTAAACAAAAATTGCCTATATTTCACACACAATTACATGAAAAATACCCAAATTTTCGAAAACTTGTACATAACCTAATTTTAAAATCTATCTTTATGAAACAGATTTTTTTAAATTAAATTTTTGCAATTTTTTAACGAAAATAGACCTGCACCATTCTCTTCAATGTTCTTTACACTATCCAACAACAAAATTTCATTAAAAACAATACACCATGTCCCGGCGTCTTTTCTTGTCTAGATGTAGCAACTGGATTTATCCATTTCTTGTTGGCAGGGTCCTGTAATAAGAATTTTGCTGCCCAAAATTCGCCGTTTTTTTCGCAAAATTACGGAACTTTCTCTTCTTAAGTTCCTTCTTAAGCGTGAGAAAAGAGAGAGAGAAAAAAAAAGTTTACATATGGTACTTCTAATAGTACTGTTTTTATTATGTCATTAAATTACAAAAAATCTATACATTTATATGCCCATACATTTAAAAATATTATTACCAGGAATTGTAATAATATTCACCTACTACTTTTTCTTTTACTTTTTTTGTTCTTACTGTTTTTAACATTTTTGTTTGTTTCCTTTTGTGACTTGTGTTTCTTTTTAGACTGATTTTTCTTCTTACTTTTCTTTTTCTTCTTCTTAGCAGATTTTGTACTTGAATCTGAAAGAAATGAAATATATGAATATAAATTGTTGCTAGTAATTTCCATGTATTACATTTTATTTCCACAGGTTTTTTAAATTTCCACATTTTTTTCCTTTAATAATATTGAAATGTAGTAGGCTAGAATTAGTATACTTCTGCCTGATAATATCCATTTAATGTAATAGATAAGAAGAATAAAAAGAAACAAAATCTTACCAGAACTGCTGTCATCCTCAGTTGAAGAGCTTTCAGACTCTGAGGAGGATGTGCTGGAATCGCTGGGTAAAGCCTCAACCAGCTTTGGGAGCAATGGCACTTTTGGTTGTGATTTCAGATGATCCCTTAGCTCATCCCTACAAAATTAAGTAATGCTTATGTTAAATATACACAACTCCTTTACTGCAGAAAATGCACACACACACACACACGATATATATATATATATATATATATATATATATATATATATATATATATATATATATATATATATAATAAGTTTACATAACAATACATACAATATACATAATAAGTTTACTCAGAGAAGCATATACAACTGTTGGTTTGTTTACAACTAAAAGGTGTACACCAAATAATGGACACTTGTATGAATGCCGCCTCGAAACATGCACCTCAGTCATATCAGTCTACTGACCCATTCCTCCGCTGGCGCCTGCCCAGGTCTACCACCTCACTTGCCCAGTCCAGGGAGTATACAAGTTGAGCCGCCGCGTCAACTCACAAATCGTCCGTCCTGGGAAACCTTCTGTCTCCGAACACTTCGCTGGGTTTCACATGATCGGCGGCTGTCGTGGTGATTCGTGGGCCTTCCTCTTTACTGTCTAATTTAACTACTTCGTACCGATCATGACCTTTGACTTCACTGCTCTTGTATGGCCCGAAACCATTCTGGATTTTTTGACTTATCCCGAATTGGGCTCTCTTGATAGCCACTAAACCACCATTTCTGTAAGCCCTTACCGCGACACCTTTCTTGCCATGCGTGGTCAGACTTTGCCAGTGAATTTTAAGAATAGTCTTCATTGAGTCAGCTCTCAGGGCGTCTATTTGTTCTTCAAACATTCGCGGCTTTTTCGAAAATGTCCTCTATCAAATATTTGAACTCTTCTTTGATCACAAGCTGTTTGATCACCTTGAATCTTTCCTTTTGATCTTGTTCCCTCTTTACTAATGCTAACACTGGGCTGGCATACTCACTCGCGCTTGGACTTACTACACGGTCTCTTTAGCCACTGTTCTTCTTGCTCATTGACGATGCACCTTTCTTTCGAGGCCAATCTCCGTGGTAGAAAGCTGATCGGCTCTTCATCCTTTAATCAATTTTCATCATGACACTAGCCTTCACATTTGTCTCTGGGTTTTCGTTACCTACCAACTGTTCGACATGATATTCACAAAGCTCAGAAGCATTTTCGGGCATTGCCACGCATTCCGAAACACTAAGCTCTTCTATGACGCTATCAACTGGGGTCTTTGCATTCGGTGTCTATGCCATGATTGCAATTCGTTATGTAGAAATCTTTCCCTGCTTGATTGTCACCTCCACTTCCTTCATTCCTGACCTAAGGTGATCAGTTTCGCCGGTAGAACGTAAACTGGAGTACTAAAGTTTCACCATTAATATCGACCTTCCATTCTGCCATTCCCATGGGTTTCACTGTGGCGTTCCTCAAACCTCCAAAATAATAGTGTCGTTGTCTTCAGAGTTAGACCTCCCATTTACTTGTATATGTCCCACTGCATTAGGTTATCATCACTTCCAGTATTCATCAGCGCTCGACACTCCACTCCATTTATTCTGATTGGAAAGAGAACAAATATATTTGCTCTACCTTCGAATGAATGCAACCTACCTCCCCTTTCTCCGACCATCTGCGAGAAGAATGCCCGAATCTGTTGCATTTAAAGCATTTCGGCTCCTCTTCCGGGCACCCAGATCTCTCGTGATCTTTAGATCCACAATTAAAACACCGTTTATAGCTGGCAGTCTGTCTTTCCTAAGTCTCCGGTTTCTTGTTGCTGGAGTTTCCACTTTTCTTCTGTTCTTTACTCGATATTGTTTTTAACTGAATACCATCTATGATGTACTCAATTAACGCTTCTTCTACGATTTTCCCCTGGTGCGCAATTTTATCATTTATATTGTAGTCCTTTTTCTTTGGCAGTCCGACTACGTTAACGCAACTGGCTGTAGATCACAGCGAAGTTGATCCTAACAGCGAATTCCTGACATATCGTACTTTTGAAGGCATTCCAACTGGATGTCTTTTGTGATGACATTAATTTCTTTGCAAACCCCCCAGAATACACTTCGCATAAATCATTCTATTGCACGAGCTCGCTGACGACTTCAAATTCGCCGATCTATTTTTTTGGCTACATTCCGTCATTTCCGAAGAATTGCGATAAACTCCTTTCAGCAACCTTAATGGTGAATGTGCTGTTCGGCGTCCAAATTCGTTCATCACCAAGGTCATGTGCCCGTTGTGGGATGCGACGCCGTAATATCGAGCGTACTGCCCACGATTGCGCCAACCATCTTGTTCATAACGTGACCTCGCTTCCCACACCCGTGTTGCGATTCAGTTACGACGATCGTCGCGGCGTCGGCCGCTCAATTCGCAGTCATCCTTCTTTATCTCTTTGCCCTTCTCCGTTCGAGCCCGATATCTGTTATCGGCATAGTCCTCTTCAGTCAACCATTCCTCATCGTTCATTTTTTTTGTTTCTTCACATCGTACTTGGTTTCAACTTCGCGAGTTCGTTTTGCGCCGTTTGATTTTCTGCATCACATGTTTACTGTGCACCCGCGACATCTGTCGGGTGTTCTGGTATTCACCTGCCGACGCGCTCGACGAGCTTCATGATCGCCACTTTGCTTTGGCTGCTCCTTTCTTCCAGAAACGCGACCTGCCCAATTCCATTTCGCTTCCACACAGTTCTCCACTCTTTTACTGCGCGAGCTTACCGAGTGCAAGATTGCAGCCCGCGTATCGCTCGTCTGTCAATATGCCTCTGCCCCTTTCCATGGGTTCTTTCTTCGAGTTGTCGGGCTTTTCCTTCTTCTTTAAGGGCAACAAACATCAGTGCGGTCTTGTAGCGTTTTATCAGGGCCTTTTTCCCCCCGGAGTTGACAGACCTACGTCCAATGTTTTCATAGCCTCTTTCAACTACTTCATCGTTCATTTTGTGACGTCTTTTTCTTTGGGCGACATGGGCGTACCTTCTATTCTCTTTCGTTTCGGCCTCTGCTTTTTCTTCATCTCCCTTTCCTCTCTACTGGTCATCTTCATGAAATTTGGTTCACCTTGTCAGTCTCACTGCTCACTTTTATGGATTACTTAACTTGACAATTCGCTTACAGATTTTCATTGAAACTACACACGGCCTCTAACCTCCAATTAGCCTCGCGACGCTGCTTTTTCGTTCTCACGATCCCGGCTGAGCCCGCATATGTAGGATCGGATTTATTCAGAGAAGCGTATACGTTTCAACTGTTGGTTTATTTAAAACTTAAATGTGTACACCAAATAATAGACACGTGTATGAATGTCACCTCACAACATGCACTTCAGTCACGTCACATCTGTTTTCTGCCCCATTACTTCTCCTCTCGCGCTCTCCTAGGCCTACCTCCTCACTTGCTCAGTCCAGAGAGTATACAAGTTGCACCGCCCCGTCAACTCATAAATCGCCCATCCCATATTACCAAACTGAGTATAGCAAGTATCATTCTTCAACTTTCTGAATAAAAGTGCAGAAAAAAAATGTAAATATTTTGGCTTAATTCAAATATGCAGTGAATTACAAAATGTATTCAAAATATGTAAATTTATTGGTATTTACTGGGAACATTTCCTCCCAGCAATTCCTAAACTTTTACACCACCAAGTTGAACAGTTTCTGAGATGATGGATCAAATGTACAGCATGGTCAAGATAGGGCTTTGTGTTACCTTTTAACTCATTAAACTCTGACACTAATTAAACCCAAAATAATACAAATAAAAAAATCTGCAATACCATAATAAATACTTAACAATGTTTTGAGGCCGTTTTTCTTTTCTTAACATTGGTACAAACATGTCCGAGGCTTCCAAAACCATTTAGGCTCAACAGACAACAGGCATTCTTCAACTAGCCCACAGTGACTGCTTGCATTTGCTTCATCAGCACAGTCACAACTAAAGTGCATTCTAGTGTTATCTTGGACAACAAAATATGCCAAACCAGTGGGGATTTATGCACTGGGCTGATTTCACAGGGAAGGGAAACGGCTTTACTGAATGCCATCTCAAAAACATCCACTTCCTAGCTTTTTTGACAGGCAGCCTCGGAATTACTTTCACATTTCATGTAAAAAAACACACAAGGAAACCATAGCAAATTTCAAAGTGATTACAACACCTAGCTCACATTGGTTTACCCAACATTTTCTGAACAGCAACAGTATGCATCGCTGGCTCTACTGCACACACGTAGTATCTTCTTTCTTGTGTGTCTTGTTTGCACAGTAAGAGTTAATAAGTAAATAGATATCTTATTCAAACTCTAATTCTATGTCACTGAACAATTTCTTAATATTTTTTGCTGCTCTACACCTTGTGTAACTTGATTACCTTTTTTAAGGGAAGTATTTCCCATTTCAAGTTATTCCCCTAACTTTTAAAGGACAATAATGATGATGAGTTTATTTTGCATAGTGAAAAGTATAGATAGTGAAAAACCGCTTATTACAGCCTTCAAAAACTATGTCAACTTTTATCAAATATTCAATTCAGCCGACTGAATATTCATTATATTTATTTAAAAAAAAAAAGTTTTGAAGAAACAGAACTTAGATCTTTAAACATATTTAAATGGAGAGGGAACTTTAATTTTACATACGTGAGTCCTCCAAGGCCAATTGATGTGAAGAAGTTAATGGCAAATCTTGTGTTTTTAGGATCATCTCTAGGAAACAATCCATCAAATGCAGCCTGCAGAGTCCTAGAAAAAAAGAAAATTGTCATGAAATGTTTTAGACATCAGCTAACATAAGTGTCTTCAAGTTTCTTTCATGTACTCACAAAATCATGAATACAATAATATGAATTCAAATACATTTTTTAATCTCCAAGTTATTTATTTTTTAAATTTTGTGAAAACATTTTAGATAGCCAACACACTAAGTAAAGTAATAACGGGAAAAATAAGTAAACTTATTCATAACACAAGCTGTAAGACTAGGGGAACACAGTACTGACAATACCCTTTAACCTAATACTTCATAGCATTATTGAAGAACTCAGGGACCTATTTGACTTTAATTTACAAATACAGTAAAATCAATCTAAGCCGGAATCGACCGAGAGAAAAAAAAATATTCCGGTTTAAGGAGTATTCCGTTTCATGCACGTTTTTTCCATCTATTTTATGACACTTGTATTAATATTTCCATCCTGAAACTAGTAAAGAACATGATTTTATTGTAAATATAAAAAGATTTAACATCTAATTTATGGTATTCGTGGAAGAAATCACCAATAAATTGATATCAAACATGCCGTTTTTGTCGTATTGCCGCACTAACAATCTTTGACACAATAATTCGAAGTAAAAAAATCTCGTGTATAAGCCGAAGTAAAGTTCGCCAAACCTGGGAATCGAGCAGCCGGTGGGAAGTTTGACGGCGACGACAGGAATACGAGGCAGTGGATTCAAGACAAAATGGCGTTCGAAAATACCATCTGCAAATAAATGTGCATTTCGAGGCAAGAAATGTAAAATCCAGCAATTGGGATACGTTCGCGATGTCGGTGGAACGGTTTTATAGTTTTCCGAGAGATGCTGAAGTTCTAGGGCAGCAAACTCTGTATCCTGAGCTACGGGTCGGCGTGGCTACGGATGGGCGCGAGAAGTGTTCCCGTAAGAACTATGGGAGCAGAGAAGCAACGCAGCATCGTTATGCTGGTGATATCGGCGGACGGGCGCAAGTTGCCGTCATTCGGGATTTTCAGACGGAAAACTACGTCGACAGAGAAATTTCCCTCCGGGATGCGTGGAAAATAGATGGATAGATAAAAACCCGGACTTGATGACGCACGTGCGGTTGCAGCGGCCTAGTGCGCTGCTGAAACAAAGGTCCGGCTTGGACACCGAGCTCACACACAACCGAGAGGTTAAGAACAGTGGCGTTTCATGTCTATTCGCACGTTCGCATTGGCTCACCAAAATTAATTCGGAGCATTTTCTCTTAAACCTCTCTAAAAAGGAGGGAAATATAAATCCTCTCAGAGCCTTTCCGAAACATGGAATTTCAAAACACGAAGCAGCGATTGTCATTCCGGGGCCAGTGCCCTACGTCGGCGCACACTCGGGAATTGAGAACGAGTAGAGCGCGTCGTAGGCTGGAGGGGAAAGAGGGAACAACAGTGGCTTTACGACGGCACGAGCATTTGGCGATCGCCACTGCGTCTGTATTTTGTAAACGTATGTAATTGGCTATTTTTTTAATGCGTTTTGAAAAACCAAAGTTAGAGTGTACGTTTTCTTAATAAGCGTGAAGAAAAATTTGCTGAAAAGAAACAGCGTTGAACTGACTTCGTGTTTCGTCATAGAGTGTAGACGGCAAATTATCTAGATTGTTTTGAGTATTCGGTAACTTGTACTTTAAGCCTAAAATTTGTATAGCAAGCTTGTGAAAAATACTAAATAGCAAAAGCGCGAGTAAAAAAGTTTGAATCAACGTGTACAATAGAACTCTTAACACCTTCTAGAAATACTGTTCCGGAACGTGCCAAGTAGATACGCGATAATCCGAATCTAGTAATAAATATTTCGGAGGGTCCTTGTCCAGCGAAGTCGAAGCAGGTGTTGAGAAAAGAAATGCGGGCAACCCTCACTGCTGATGAAAGATACCGTTCAGCATACTATCAGACCTTAAAGATACCTTGTTTAATTGTTCATTATATGTGTAATGATTTTATATATATATATATATAATATATAATATATATATATATATATATATATATATATATATATATATATATTCGTGAAATGTACGCATTTCTACACGAGTATGAATGTGTATTTGAGAGAACGAAGAGGAGAGAGAGAGAGATTTGCATACCCTAATGCATGACCACAAACCGCCAGGTAGAAGTAAACTGAAGGAGAACCACGAGGATTTAGTAGTGATGCCAAGCGACATATTTGGGATGCTGCAGCCATAGTTTAGACGTGGCTATCAACCGGCCATTCATGTGCACATGGACGTTTGTACCGTGGCGTGGGCGCAACGAACACAAGCCACGACTCCGAACGGCCGTCACAGCAAGACCACGGTGACTGACATCATGTGTTAATAGGTTTGGATGCGTGGGTATTGATTTCAGGAAAACTGATCGGAACAGTTTTGAAGTAAAGCGGCATTTCAAGAAAATGGACGAAGATGATGTATTATGGAAACGTTTCCCATTTGAAAGTGACAACTGTGATGATAATATATATATATAATATATATATATTATATAATATATATATATATATAATATATATATATATAATAAAATAAATAATCACTTCAAGATGCATTTACTCCATTAAGAGATTCTCATGTCTCTCTGCCAATTTCATTAAATTCACAGAAATTACATTTTATGAAGTTTTCTTTTACTGCAGGACATTGAAAATCCTACGTTGGACAGATTCTGTTTTATGCTGTGTAAAACACCAATTAACTTCACAGGCCAGATAAATTTTCCGGTCAAGGTAGGTTTCTGGCTTGTTACAGATTCTGGTTTAGACAGAGTTTACTGTACAAGCAAAAACGTTTTTATGTCTATGACGTACCTCATACTTCTTTCAAGAGATCAAAGTTTGCTAAAGAATATGATAAAAAAAGATGTTAATAACTTATCAGAGGATTTCAAAATGTGAAGCTCAAATCATTACACCAAAAATTCAATTTTATGAATGCAAATCTATCTGCCAGAAGATTTGAAGTTCACTTTTAGTTAAGATTTTTGTCAACATAATTTTCCTGACAGGGATCTATGAGCTTCCTTTACTTCCAATTTTGAAATTGAAGTGAAGTGCGTTAAATTTAAACAAACAGCATTTAATTCCTCCCAAGTTGTCTCCTGATTGAAAACAGGATAAGTGACATCTATTAACATATAAAATAATTTATTTCTCCATTGAGTCACTTAGCAGTCACAAGAATTGTATTACACTGTAGTACGTAACTCTAGATATATAACTATAACACTATAGTATATAACTCTAGTATATCACCTTTTTGATTTCCTGTAGGGCTAACTTTCTATCAACAACAACAGTAGTTCTCGCATGGACTACAATTGTGGCCCAACTAACTTTTAACTATCTGACAACCCTGACATCTAAGGTAAAAGTTACACTGGTCTCAAACTCAGTAGAGGTTGCAAGCCACCAAAAATAAAATAACTGGCTACACCTACAGCCTATGAAAGTATTCCAGGGTTAACGCAAAACACAGTTGAATTTTAAGACCATTATTTTTGGTTCTATCTTTAAGAGAAATACTGTATTGAGTTAAAAGATATTACTATAGTTCAGAGTATTTTGTACTTAAATATTTAAAATAAAGCATTTCAGCATACATCCCAAAAGGAATAGAAGTATTTAAAGCATTGTATAAAAAAATTAAGCGTCACAAAGCATTCCAGAAAAGAAAGATAACATGGGAAAAGGTAGTACATGGATACGAGGATCACTCCAAAAGTTTTGAGAATACTATATTTAAAATCGAGATAACAAGTTCTTGCCTTCACATCTTGAAGTACTCTCCACCACACTATGAAATATTTCATCCGATTAAACCAATTATCAAATGAGGATTGCCACACTTAAGAGATACTGCGAATATGATCTTCATATGCAGTCACTGCAGCCTGAGCTGACTCGAAACAATGTCCTCGAATTTTTTCTTTCACATAAGGGAAAGAAAAGTCACACGGGCCAGGTCTGGACTGTAGTGTGGATGAGACAGTGTTTTAACCCTTGATTCTTTCAGAAATACAGTTGTTGCTCTGGCTGTGTGGGATGAGGCGTTGTCATGGTGGAGTAGGATTCCACGCAAACCTGATTTTGGACGGTTTTTTCTCAGCTCTTCAAACAATCTGGGCAAGCAAATTGTAGCGTACCATCTTGCAGTGATTGTCTTGTTCCTTGAGTGGCACTGTCACAATATGGCCACTGGCAGAGAAGAAAGAACAAATCATCATTTTGCCAACACTTCTGGGTTTTCTCACTTTTGTAGGAGGATTTTCATCTGTGAAGACCCACACTGGTGACTGCCGTTTCATTTCTGGGTCAAAATAATAAATCCAGCTTTTATCACCTGTCATGATGTTAAAAATGTTTTTTGATCTTCCTCCATTGAACTTATCCAGGGTCTCATGACACCAATCCACTCGCGCCCTTTTTTGTTCATTTGACAGATGTGAGGGATCCAGCGACAGCACAACTTCCTAACGTGAAGCTTTTGTTTCAGGATCTGTCTCACTGCTGCTGATCCAATATTTAAAGCTTGTTGAATCTGAGCATATGTACAACGAGGATATTTCCTTAGCTAATGTTCCACTTTCAGCACATTTTCATCCGTTGTTGCTGCGTTGGCCCTGCCAGAACGGTCTTCATCTTCCAGAGAGTCCCTTCCCCTCTTGAATTTGAGAAACCATCGATAGACAGTGGCTTGTGAAGGGCAACCATTGCCAAACACACGCTGTAATCTCTCGAGGCATGATTTCTTATCTAAGCCAGCCTTAAAGTCATACAAAATTTTAGCTCTGAAATGATCTCTCTTCAGGTCCATCGTTACTGGCAGAGAAATAACAACTAATAGAACACAAATAGTGTTCAAACTTGCGCGAGATTCTTACTAAAAGTTCCACCTAACAATGGAAATAGTTTCATTGTTGCTCATTCTCAAAACTTTTGGAGTGACCTTCGTATTATAATAGGAAAAAAAAATTATACTTACGGATCTTTAACTCTTTCATTGAGTTTTGTAAGTCCCATATATTCTGCAAGCTCCAGAAAAAGAATTTTTATAAAAATGCGACTTGAACTTGTTGTTTCTTCCTCATTCAATTTTATTAGGACCAGTACTTCCCAAGATATTGCATCCGTAAAAAGAAGATGAGCAAAAAATTTTGCAACATTACGAAGTTTATTTGTATCTAATCGATGAATCTTATCATAGGTTTCTTTAAATATTTCTTGGAATGGTGGAATAAATATTTTGTTTATCTGGCAAAATCTCTGCAGGAAAGACAAAAATGGAGCACATTATTTACACAATACATCCAATAATGTTTAGCGTTTTAAAGGCAAGGATATATTATTTAAGGAAAAGCTAAACCAAGAAAAACATTTTGAAATTTGATTTTACTATGATAAATACACTAAAAGTAAGACACAATTTTTTTTTTAATTTAACAGTCATTGTCACATATTTATACACTTTCATATACTGTTTCTTAATGCAGTTTCTAGAAAAGTTCTTTAATGATAATGTTTATTTCACAGGTAATTGCCCAATTAATACATACTACTACAGAAGTTGCAATGACAGAAAAGAAAATAAATATCATACTAAGATGAGACACACTAGTCACTTACAGTCAGTTTGCAGGTAATATTTTAGCAGTTTCACAATATTTTGATCTGAGGTAAAAAGGATTTCATTGTCTATTATAACTTTATTTGCACACTTGCACTTTCTCCTCATTGGAGAATTATATCAATTGTTTGTGTGAGCAGTTGGCACTGAGGTGTACTGGTTTTCTCCCAATAGGCACCTTGGTACATTCCATGGTAACTTTGACAGTAGCTCAACACAATCTATTGCGTTATTGCACAGTTTGAATGGGAATGAAAGATCATGAAGTTTCCTAGGTGACTCAAGAGAGCTCATATGAACTATTTGTGCTATTTGAGTATAATAATGGGTTAAGAATGGAGATGGCAAACCGAGTTTCCAAGCTAGAAAAGTTTGCTCCTTGGTTTGGGACTATTTTCTAATTTATTTTCATACAATGCATATGATGGAGATTTGAGATACATATATCAAAATAGGCCTAATTAAAGTAGATTAAAGAATTATGAGCGACATTAAGTTTTTAAATTCCACTGTCATCCTCGTCACAAAGCAATCATTTGGTTGGCTTTATTGACAATTTGGTCAAAATTTATATTAAATTTCATTTTGGGGTCAAAAAGTACTTGTAAGAATATGTTATGGGAGACTTCAAGTATGAGACTTCAACATCATAACCCCATAACTTTATATTTACCGACATTAAAATATAGTAAGTTATGACTGCTCTACTTGAATAAATCATTTACAGCTTGCTAAAGTATTTTATTGCCCTCTACTTTTGACCTGCTTATAATTTTTAACACAATCTTATTTTGGTGTTGAACCATATTCTATAAAATATCACTTAAATATTGTAACATTCAAAATTCTTTAGATTCATTCTTTAATAATATACAGTCAAATCCCTGTTGCTCTGTTTTCACTTACACGCCCTTTGTAAGAAGAGAAAGTGAAAGCATGCACTGGAATCGGCTATTTTCGTCAGAATATCTCCTATTGACATGCCCTGGTAATGGAAAAGTGGATAATCATACTCCTATTTACAGTAAATTACTTCCTCTAACATGTGGTGTAGCCTGAATCCCTATTTTATAAGTCTTTGATACCGAAAAATTCATTGATGGCAAAATGCCTGTCTGTCCGTCTGTGGTCAACGCGAGCGCCGAAACCATTCAACCGATTTTCTCCAAAATTGATATTCCTTAATTGATTTGAACGAACTCGAGGCTTTTGCACATTCGTTACATACATATGTAGTAATTTACTACATATTGGAACAGAATTTATCCACTTTTTCTGTATCAGTACGAGTTTCTGTCGAAAAATCACAGTTTTTTGCCACAGCATTACATAACTTTCTCAGCACTAGATATAAATGTACGTATACGAGAAAGTAAAAATATAAAATATATATTTTAAAAAAGACATAAAAGACAGGAAGCACTCTTCATATCAAGTTGTAAATTGCGGGAAGAGAACGCATTGTAAATATAGGCTTTTCCACAGTGCCAATGAAAAATTACGTAAAAGACAGGAAAACGTAAAATGCAGGAACGTAAAAACAGGATTTAACTGTATTATTTATTAGTAATTTTATTATTTATTATAAACATTTATATCCAATATCAGTGGGTATTTCACAATAAGCTATTAAAAATAAGATCAAAAATAAATTTCTGATTTATTTCATGGCTTGACCAGATTTATTCATTAGTAAACCAAAAGACAACGTTAATTTTCCTATGATAATTTTATGAATTTCAATAAAAAGGATTCATTTTCCATTCAAAGAAGACGTCTAGTTGTCATTGAAACAAAACATGGAATTCATTCAAAACTAATTTATCCCTAAAATTGAATCAAACAAAATATTCAAATTTTATATTATGAATATATTTAGCTATTCTGCCTACGTAATTAAGTCGTCTTCATCATCGTCTAAACCTTATCCCAGTTAGCTGGGTTTGGCTTTTTTGATCACTTACAACTATCCAATATGATTTGATAGGGATTTTTACAACCAGCTGTCAGCTTGACACCCACCCCTAACCTGGAGAAACAAACTTTGTGACTTCACCTAGTTAATGAAACTGGCTTGGCAGAGCCAATTTTGCATTTATGGCCTTTTCAGTAGAACCATCCCAGCATTCACCTAGATGACTAAAGAAAATCACGAAAAACCCAGGTCAGGATGGCTGGCATGGGGATCAAACCCAGGCCTAAAGAACGGGACGTCAGCGTGCTACGCCCTAATCCACTTTGCTCGGTCGACAACAAAATTAAGTTTCGAGTATAAATAAAATACATATTTGCAATTATTTTGATATTACAACATTTTTGTATTTTTCTCTAAAAGGAGCAAAGCTGACATGTCCCTTTTGAATGTTTGTTTCTCAGTGACATAGACTATATGCATTCATACAGTGATGTATTGGATGGTTTTCAGTTCTGAATGTTAAATTTATATGTGAAATTATCCTTGCTTGTCTTATGTACGTCAAATATTGTGCCAGTTAAGATTTATTCATGTTGTTTCTTCTAAGACAGCGATTCTATTTCTACTGACTCCAATCATTTGGGAATGGTACTCATTTTAGAATTGGGTCAATAATTAAAAGTACAATTTTTTAATCCAGATTTAAGTAGTGGTGAAGAATAAGTTGGCTTCATTTGATCTGATATTAAGCCTTCTCACAGCATCTTCATATCTTAAATATTGATGCCAAAATAAAGATGCAATTTTTTAAAATGTAGAAGGTATACTATTAGGTCCAGCACTTTTATTAAGGTTCAATATTATTAATTTCATTTAATATGTCCATTATGGAAATATCGAAACTATTAACTGTAAACGATATTAAAAGTTAACTCACTAGGTGTTATATAAAATGATCGAAAATATTTAGAAAATGCATGAACAATGGAAGGGCCATCACTGTACAATGCAGAATTAAAGTACATAATATTTAGTAATCCTATTTATGACCTGTGCACTAATACAAGTGCTGATCTCTATCCTATTGCTAATAATATATTAAATTTTGACATTTCCCAGATTTGTACATGCATATACAACAGTGAAACATCTGATTTCTACATAATGATGTCTTTTATAGGAGCCTTCAATGAACACAAAACAGTTTGCGGAGAATATGAATGTACAGCAATTTATGTGGAGAATTATTTCTCTGAAGCACTGTGACACTCACTTGTTTTCTAACTGATCAAATTAGTCCCTTCTTAAACTTCTCTAGATCTGAGGCAATGGCTGGGTTCTTTTACACTTGTGAATTAACAAAAACAATACTTAATGTACAACACAAATGCAAGAGAAAATCTTACCTGTGCCAAAAGACCAAAAAACTTCTCATATGTTCTCTGTTCTGCACAACAGTCCAACAACATATGACACAACTCTGATTCCTGGCCAGGCTTCAATTCCATGCGCATCAGCTTGTGGGCGCATTCTTCAAAGTCCAAACTGGACTGGATGGTAAGGTAGATGGTTCGACGCAGAGCCACCAAGTTTGTCTCAGTATTATCTATTATGGCTGCTTCTTTGCCTTCTGAAATGAATAAAAGAATTTTCAGTGTAAAACTTCCTTATTACAGTCTCCTAAAATTATTTTACTGATTACAATTTGAAATGTAATTTAATGATCAAGAAACAGTAATATAAACGCCTAATATATGCTTAAAAATTGTGTTGTCTCATAAGTTGTATCATTCAAGAGGTAAGTAACATGGAGTCACAGCACGTGTAGCCCCAATTAAAACGTACAGGTAAGATAAATTAACAGCAATATGGTAAGTGTTTGATAAAATACATTTAATTTATTTTACAATGTTTACTGAAAACTGAATGATAAAAATTTGTATAAATCAGAACCAATATAAATGTAAAATACATGACAAAAGCTCTAATATCAGAATTTACTAAATTTGGAATCACAAATGTTCAAGTTTATCTATAACATGCTTATTCAGTAAAAAGCAAACAAAGGAAGTAAATGCTGTATTTACCCAAATATAAAACTAGTTTTTTACTTCAATACTTCAATCGAAGAAAATGGGGTCAACTTACGATTAGATAAAGTCTTGTCTTAAGATTTATGTTTAACTGCCTTTCCACGTCAAGAAACATGAAGACTGATGCAACAAGAAGTGGCAAAGGCCATAAATATAATACGTATATATAATACCTAGTTACATTCACAGGCAGTTTCTTGGTTCCCACCGCAGGTTTGCTAGCTGATCCAAACCAATATATTTTAATGGAGTAGTAAAGAGAATTTCAAACAAGTGGCACAAATAAATATTTTTTTAGAAATTCATCTTTCTGAGCAACAACAAAATATTCAATATGGGTAATATGTGAGATTTTCAAGTTATTATATCAAGATGTTTAGAGCGACCTATACAGAACTACATAAGGTATATTCTCCAAAAGCTAATCACCAAGACTGTCTAAACCATGTTCAACATGAAAACGGTAATTTTTATACTTGACTGAAGTTGAGAGATTATCTTGAGAAACATTAGATTAGGTCATGGCAATAAAACAAACAAGACTGCAAGAAACTTCACCAAATAGATATTTAAAAAAATTTAAATGTTACCATTGCATAAAATTACATCCATTATCATTATTTGTTTCATCTCTACTCTTCATTTTTTTGGGGTACAAAACATTTTGCTTCCAAATGAAAAATACTTTTTTGCTCAGTGACATATCTTTACACCTATTTAGTGAAACATAATAACCCCCACTCACACAGACAAATAAGTTTGTCATGCCATTAAATTATTTATGTAGACAAGAAAGCAAGTCTTTGGTGTAGTAAAGAAAATTTGAAGGACACGGCTAAGATGAAGATTAGAGCTGTGTCCAGTACCAAAGACACTTTAGTACATGCTGCACACATTATTTTTTTGTACAAATTCATCAAAACTTACAAATATGCTTGAGATCATGTGCAATATGTGAGGTGGCAGTCATGATGATTCATGGTGAGCCAGTGTTTGGTTTACTTTGCAGTACATAGATGTTTTACATGGCCATGACGAGTTTGTAGTATGCTTATGGCAAAGTCTTCTTTTGCCGTACATGTACAGCAAAGTAAAACACCAATTTCCAATCCATAAACATTAAAGGCAAGAAAAAATTGCCAAACAGAAGATCTGAAAGTTACTTTTAAAGAATACTGCCTACCTGCATCACTTTCCTGTTCAGAGCCACTCTCTTCTTCATCGTCATCGGAACTCCCACTGCCGGACTCCGAGCCACTGCTGCCCATTCCAAGAAGTTCTTTGCGCACATTTCCATATTTCTCTTCATTGCCCTCATATTCTGGATCAAATTTGAAGACATCTGCAAAGCAAAACATATTTTAAATTTTACCTGCAGGGTCAGATTTAACAAATCAATCCTGATAATAATCGGTTAACGACATTTCTTTTTTAACCATTCACACACTTGAATTTCTCTTTTTATTAAACCTTAAAAGGAGCCTACACTAACAGTCAGTTGGCTAACAGTCTTTCTATCCTCAAGTCCTTAGGATGATTGACATAAGAAGCAGTAGGTCAAACAGTATTGTCATAAAGCAAAGAGCACTGGTTAATTTGATATTCAACATTTTAAACAATTGGATTTTATTATTTACAAAATTGGACTCAATCCCTCCAATAGATGATGAGGAGATTAATGAGGAGATTAACGAGGAGATAATTTCTTGAGACGAAAAAACATGTTTTCAATATCAGGAATGCGTAAAGCATCAATTTGGTTTCTTTTACAACTATACAAACAATTAATGAGACATTATAAAAACTGGAAATTACACTTTTACCAAAATCTTCATTCTTCAAAATTTATTCTATTCAAATAAAACAATTAAAAAGAAAACAGTTGAAGCAGATTTTCCAAAAAAAATTGAAAATGTTGAATGAGCTTTGTGCAAAGCATTGTAAAAATCAAAATAAGTTTCAAAATTCTTAGTCATGAGTTAGTTCTTAGTCAGATCAGAAGAAAAACAGTTTTAAAAACTTTTGGTGTACAGTTCACAAGTTAATGTTTTTCTCGTAGAGTGACTTGTATTGCCTCCAATTGAACATGTCACAATGGAGTTACCCCTACAAATGTGAAATAAACTGAATTCAAAACAAAAAGTGACATCCTTTTTCAAGAACCCTTAAACAAGGCTTATTTACTTTTCGAGGCAAATTTTTTAAGTTTTTATACAATAAATGCTTACTTCTTTCACGGTTATTGGAACATATACATTTGGATCCTAATTATAATGATACAACTATCAATAACTGAAATTTTATAATATGCATTTCATTTCTTTTATTATTTTTAACATGAAGATAAAGATTTTGCTGAGTGCTATATTAAACTGTGCTGCCATTTCCAGATTTTTTAAGTGATCAACAGCTCTTTATTCCCCTTTCTATATTCCAGTTTCAAATCTCCTAGGAATAATCCCTGAAGAAATACAATGGCCCAAGGGTACTAGAGAGATGAACTTACTTAAGATGTCTTCTGGATCCTTGGCGTCTTCCAAAGTAATGAGATGAGTAAACTGGTCTTCCTCTTCAACAATATCAAGCTCTTCTATCACAGCTTCATGGTCACGAAAATTATCTTTGCGAACTTGGAAAATCACCTCTATCATGTATTGAACCTGAAAATTATCATATTATATTATTTTCATTTCAATTCAAATATGAAACGTGTGGTTTATTTTTTGGTAGTTTTGACATTTTACCCTTTTATCCAGTTGTCCTTCGTGTAAAATATTGCGAAGCATTTCAAAAACTGCATGTATTCCTTTATTTGAAACTTCCATTAGCTTCATTCCACATTCTTTCAAAAAAGCAATTGCTACTTCTACAGAATCATCAGTTGGACTTTCAACTAGCAATGTTAGAATCTCCAAAGCTAAAATTTCATGAGCCTGCAAGAGGAACAAAAACAATACTTATGTGATTTTTATTAAAATTTTACAAACCCATTAGACTTTGATAATCCAGTGAATAATCTAAAAGCGATGTCCCATTACTATTAACTATTTCATATAATAAGAGTGTTAGTTTAACTGATAATTAAGGGCAAATGTGATCTGACATTACGAATTCAATATTCTTGGGGATATAACCTTGTTCATGACTGGAAAAGATATTTATGTATCAAGACCAAAAATCCTATCACCCCTTCGTGAAATTAAGTGGTATTAAAGCTGATTGCAAAAAGAGATTGAAGAAGCATTACTTTCATCCAAGTTACACACAGCTATTTTTGCAGAAAAATCTAGTTTAAGAGTTTATATACATTAATTATGAATTTCAAATGTTTTTAGTTTTACATATCGTTCTATGAAATTACTTGGAACATAAGCACTGTGTAATGTTGCATTGTAAACAAACATGGGTCTCGTATCTATTCTGATTTTGAGCTGAGAGCAAATGAAAATCCTATTAATAATGACTAGGGAATAGATTTGAATGTAAAAACATATTTTTACTGATAGATGGTACCTGCATTCAATAACACTTCACATGCATTATGCATTTTTCCAATATTGTTTTACATATTTTGGTACAATTACATATTTTTATATATTTGCCCCCTTACTACACATTTCATTACATTTTAAAATATTTACATACTATAACAGAACATAATAATAATAATAATAATAATAATAATAATAATAATAATGAAGAAGAGAAGAAGAAGAAGAAGAGAAGAGGAAAATGAAGAAGAGGGAAAAGATGAAGAAGAGGAAAAAGAGAAGAAGAAAAGGAATGAGGAAAAGAAGAAGAAGAGAAAAGATGAAGAAGAAGAAGAGGAAGAGGAAAAGATGAGAAAAGAAGAGGAAAAGAAGAAGAAGAAGAAGAAGAAGAGAAAGAAGAAGAGGAAAGAAAGAAGAAAGAGGAAAAAGAAGAAGAAAAAGAGGAAAAAGATGAAGAAGAGAAGAAGAAGCAGAAGAAGAAGAGATAAAGAGGAAACGAAGGAGGAGAAGAGGAAAAAGAAGGAGAAGAGGAAAAAGAAGGAGAAGAGGAAAAAGAACAAGATGACGAAGAACAACAAGAAGAAGTGGAAAATCGCCAGTAGATTTTGGGAAGACTGATAAAAATGTTTGAAAGGTGAGCATTTGAAACTTAATCCATTTGGCCATTGGAAAGTAAGCCATGTGAGTAGTCCAAATCTAATGTTTTAATGATCAAGAATATTTTATAAACTATCATAACTTACCACTCTTTGGTTGACAAGATGAGCTATAAATGTTGCAGCAGAAATACATAAGCTCTTGTCGTTGCGTTTGAATCCTCTTCGAAACTGAATAACAATACGTCTCAACAACAATTCTCCGATATTTGGGAACTGTTAGAAGGAAAAACATTTTCATCAATTCCATTTTTGGGATTTTCAAAACACGGTTACAATGCAAAAGTTGATTTTTAAAGATAATATCATTTCCTGAGATAAAGAAATTTACAAAGCACCAAGACCAACAATCCGTTTAAAGAGATTAAGTCGAAAAGAATTGTATTCAAATAAATTTTACTAGTAATACAGTAAAACTTGCTCAATATGGAATCTCAAAGAACTAGTATTTTTTCCACATTAGACAAGAATCTGCATCATATATGTAAAGCAAAACCTTTCCCAGGACTGCAGTTTCTGAACACATTGGACAGATATCCTGATTAAACATGTTTTGCAATGAGGAAGTTTTACTGTATAGGATGAGGTTTTACTGAGGATGTTTTTCTGATAACTCTCTGAATTACTTTGTCACTCATATTTACATTGAGATTCTTGATCTAACATGATTCAATGATATTTCTCCCACTACAATACACCGAAAGTCAAGATCAACAAAGACTGGATGATTATATTCATTGACCCCCCCACAATGAACGCAAATTACTGGCGAGAAGGAAGCTGAGAAATGAACAATGAAGTACATGATGACTTTATTAGGTGTTCCGTTTTGTCTGTAAATCTCCTGTTGTCAAATGTTATCGAGTTTAAAGTATCTTAAGTCATGGGGAGTTTTCAAAAGCCATAGATACTTAAGAATGACACCATACCCTTAGAATGTAGAACAAATTTGTACTAAACTTTTTGTTTAGTTTATAGTTCAGCAATTTGGAAAACCCAAATAAGGGCATTGCTTAACAGTACTCACACTATCATTCTATGACTTCTACACTAGAATCACAGATGGGTCACTTCTGGCTCCTTAATTTCATTCATGATTTTAAATTAATGGATGGTTATAATGGCAAATAAAGAATATATTCTTTGTTATGCTTGTAAATTTTCCCCAGTTTATGTATGCTAATTGTATGATGTTAGCATTTACTGGCTAGCATCACATAATAAGCACACTTTATAATCTTCAGAGGTGCATATTTTTGCCAATTTTGCTCACACGTGACATTTTACAAAAGATTTGTTCCGTCTTTACTAAGAAACATGGTTGCGTTTCTGGTCTTCCAGGAATTTCATCTGGGATAATGACGCAGACAGAATTCATTCTGGTTGCAGCATTTGTGTCCGTCAGGAATTTGAAAGCAGTTTCTTTATTTCTTCAGTTTCAGTTTCTTCATACAGAATGGTAAAGGAACAAGGCAGTAGTCCAGCCATGTCCAGCATTTTGTAAAATTGGTCAGCGCCTGGATTGTGCTTGTCTGATTTTTTGTGAGCCATTTAATTGACCACATTGACTTTGTATTTGGAAGAGTTGTAAAATATTACTGTACTGTTAAACTAGTTTCAATTTTCACATCAGATTGCATACTGCCGAGAAATATGACATCATTCTTTGTCTTTCCATGATAAACAAAGTGATATCTTCAACAGCCCTCTGCTAATTCCCTTTCAAATTTTTGACATAAAACAGTATTTCTCTTTGAGATCTATTAATGGTCCCCTTCCTACTATTTACTTTAAAATATTTAAAGAGAGACAAAAGGGGGAAAAATTGACACATTACATTTCTTTCTTTCGCCTGTATTAGGTAGCAGTGGCTTTTTCACCTCAAAATCACCAAGATACACATCACTTAATTTGGTTTCATCTTTTCATATATAAAAGAAAGGATTCACAATGTAATTGGAATCTTTGTCTACCTCCATTCAATTGTTTTGCCTGTATTTGTCTTATTTTGGAGATGAATTGGGTGAAAATGCAGTGTTATTTGGAAAATCCAGCTGCTCATCATCAGTGATCTAGCTACACCATGTATTTGCCCTGGTATGTAGCTAGACTGTGCATTTGCAATGAGTGTAACCAAATTTCAGATACCAGTGCAAATATAACTTTGCAATCTTCCAGCCTTTGCAGGCCCCACTTCATTAACCACTATGTATCCAGTTCTGAACCCTTAAGATTCTATAGCACCACACACATACAATACTGCTACGAAAGCAGTAAGCGGGTTTCAAAATGTTGTCTGCAATCCTAAGTTACTTTGAATTCATGCAAAAATGTCATTCAGGACATTGATCTTCTGTTCATCCACTTCTTGTCATACTAAACTACTGAGACTATTTCATCAAACACACACGCAACATGCATCAAGATGCACAATACTAGTATTTAGAATTCTTCTCAATAGGCTCCACCTTCCCCTATTGCTGTCAATAAATGAAATTGGTAAGTTGTGAAAGAGAAATGTATTTTCAACCATTGTTGATCACATCCAAACTGAAATACATTCAGTTGTTCAAGCTTTTACATTGTGAGATAAAAGAGACCATAGGTGAGTGATAATTTTTTGTAGAGGATTGTCTCTTTCATAATGGAATTACATGGTGGTTAAATACCCTTATTCATGAACTATCACAGAAGTTGAGTATTCTATGAACAAAAACAAAATGGTGAGGAAAGAAAGAAATTACCAACAAGTCAAAAATAGAACAGCTGCGCATCTAGAGTTAACTGAGGAGGCCTGTATAAGCCATTTCCTCATTCTCCCATGGAGAGGCACAATTCATTTCGAGGAATATCACATTTGGAAGTTAAACTTGTGGTTTTAATCAAACTTAAATCACATATATTTATTATATAATCAAACAAAATCAAATTTATTTCATTCCCAAGAATAAACTGTAAAAGTTGATCACTGTTGTATTTCAAATATGGATTTTTTGAAATATTAAAATCATTCTAAATAACATTTTTTGCTTCAAATCCATATTATTTATGCCTGCATTTATGAATACATTTGTTATTCTCAGTTCTTAGAAACTAATATAACAGTAATAAATATTTATGTTAACAATTTGTAAAATAAAAATATTTATATGTTATTTGTTTAAAACCTGTTTATGAAATAATATTCTAGTAATTAGGTTGGTTCACTTAGACAGTGACTAATGGTAAAGACCTTGGTTTCTGTTCACAATTATAATTATTTACAATCAAGAGATTTAGCTTCTTTTAGAAGAACAGTAATTTGGCTTGTATACTCCATGGCCAGAATGTAATCCATGGAAAACCTTATGAATTTTGTAAGAAATTTGTTTTTGTCCTTTAGTCTATAATATGCAATGAGTTTACTTTATGGTACTAGGGTATTAGGATATTAACAAAGAGAGAATTTGGAAGCGTATAACCTTCATTATGCCATCACAAATTTACAAATCAAAATAAAATTATATAAAGGCTGTCAGCATTCCTCTTTTAGCTAGTTTTCTGAAGACATTGCTTGATAGAGCAAAATCAGAATAATGTTCTAAAGCCATTTATCAGGCGCAGGAAATAATGAGAGAAAAAAAAGTGACTTCCTTGATTATAAAAAATACTGCTGGAAAATTAACACCGCCAATGGTAGTTTATTTATGCACTCGCCTAACAGCTGGAATAGCAAGTGGCATTCCTGGCAATTTGGCTACTAGGCACTATATATCAATCACAAGTTATTTTATGAGTATACAGCAAGGCTCTTTTACTCTTGGCTACTTCAAAATAAAATTGAGATTAATGAAATTGAGCCAGTAGTTGCATTTTTAGATTTCATAACTCTTTATGACTCCCCAAATTTGCTCAGAAAACAGAATTGATGTGGATTAAATCACCATTCTTCCTATCTAATTCAACCTATGAATGTATTTGCCTTTCATATTCTTAAAGACTCTTGCAGACTGAGGGTACAAGAATGGAAGATGAAAAACAGAGATATGAAAAGAGAAGACTGGAAAAAATCTTAAGCTAACGCACTTGATGTAAAACAGAAGTAAATAAGTTGCAATATCCACACAGTTTTGTAAGTCTGAACTGATCTCATGTTTTGTGTGTGTCCTGTTTATCATATTAATCTACTTAATCATATTAATTATTAATAATTTACTATTGTGAATTTCTATTGTTATTGGTGAAAGATTTGGCAAACGTATAAAAAGTTGGGAGTATACAAACAAATGTCTTATTAAAGTAGTGTTAAAAGTAAGTAAAATACATAAGTGTCATAGGAATATATAATTTGAATAATGATGCCCCATGGCTAACAAAGATGATTTTGAAATGACAGTCACATGAAGTCACATACAGTCCCTTGATGGTATTCCAAAGTCCCATGAAATAATATTTGCTGGAGATTTTAACGGCAGAATTGGAAGACACAAGAACAATAGTATTGTGGGTCAACATGGTGCGGAAACTCGAAATGACAATGGAAAAAGCCATTAATGTTTGTGAAGAGTATGAAATGAAAATTAATAACACTTTCTTCTTACATAAAGATATTCATAAGTATACCTTGGTATCAACATACAAAAAAACTCAAATCTATAATAGACCTCTGTGTAGCTAAGCAAAAAACTTCACTCAAAGTACAAGATGTTAGAGCGAAACAGCTCTAACCCAATGTAGCGGTCATTGTTTGGCAATTGCTAAAATACCAAATACAAATTAAGCAGTCTTTTCGATGAAAGTAAAGCATATCTCTACAGAAAACGACTTGAAACTAAACTGTTGGTTAAACAAGGCCAATAGAAAAAGCCGCAGAGGAGGCAAAAAAAAAAAAAACACAAGGTCTTCGTAAGGGTTGCTGTGTTTTCCCAACACTGTTTAAAATATATCTGCATCAAATTTTACAGCAGTGGGAGAAACAATGCAGAGTAATGGAAATGGTGATGAGAGGGGATAAATTGTATACATTACATTGTGCCAATGACCAGGTAGTAATTGCAGAAGTTGCGGATGAATTGAGTTTCATGATCCGTAAACTCAATGAAACTTTTTAAAAGCAGGACAAATGTGAATACCTGGAAGTTGGTAACAATGAGATAAATCATCTTCTTCTGGAAAATGGAGGAAAAATGAAAGTAGTAAACAAACATAAATACCTTGTTGTACTTTTTAACAATAAGGGAAATAGCCATGAAGAAATTGAGAGATGAATAAGATGGGGAGAAACGTGACATGAAGTATAAACTCTGTCTTATGGAGCAAAACCATCACTAACACTACAAAAAGACGTCTTTACTCCTCACTAGTTAAGAGCGTCACAACATACAGTTCAGAAGTTTGAGGGATCGATAAAAGAACAAAAGGGAAGCAGTTGGCCCTTGAAATGGACTTCTGGTGTAGAAGTTGCTGTTATAGCAGATGTGGCAGAATCAGGAAAGATGACATAGGAAAGAAAAGGAATGTAAAGAAATCTGTCCTTGACGTAATAGAGAAAAAATAAATTGTCTGGTTAGGTCATGTTATGCGAACGACAGACGAAAGATGGCCAAAACGAGTCCTGCAATGGGAGCCAACAGAAAGACAGAAGAGAGGAAGACCCAGACTTGCAAGATGCGGCAAGAGAAATGAAAGATGATCTACGGTCAAATTGAGAGGCATGGAGACTAAGAGTGGAGAAACAGCGACAGATGTAGAGCAACTCCATATAGGAACATATTTAAACTCACTAAGAATACAACTACATCTGAACCAACTAATGACTAGACCAAACAGTTGAAAGTAATGTTTTTCCCATAACGTGTCAGCTTTTGGTGCTGTTACACCTTATTCAATTTCATAAATTATCAACAAACAGAGACTCAATATGTAAGTAAGATAAGGTAAGCAACTTGACCTTTTTATTACACAATTAATTTTTCACACTAAAGTATTAGTTTGGGAAATTATTTTGCATTGCCGTTCCTAAAATATTTATAAGACCAAGAGAATAAATGAAACCAAAAAACTAGGCCGCTGCGAGTTCCTTTGCCAGAGCTTGTATGGAGCCTGGGGTAGAACTAACAAGAGAGTCGAAAATAAAACTAATAGTATTAAATAAGAAAATGCAATGTAAAATTTATTTTGACAGTTCTATGACTTTCTCATTGTTGGCAATTCTGTTACATTTTTCTGAAGAACACTTCTGCATCAATATCATTAAAATACCTTGGATAAGATTTTTAAGCTAGGCATTACTAACAAAACATACCTTTGAATTAATTACTGCCACCAATGCTGCATAAACATGCGTGAACGTTGGTGAAGCTGCTTGAGCTTGGATGATAGAACGACATAACAGACCACGGCCTCTTACAATGTTTTCTTTCAATAATTCCCGTACAATAATACCAATGTTTCCAGTGTTTACTTTATTAATATGCCCATGGATAGATTTCTTAAGTGCTTCCCATGCTACTCTCTGATAGGCAGCACTGGACTTATCAGTGATTTGAGCCTGCATCATACGCAATTTTGCCGGAGGGATGTATGCACCTCCTGTTCTTGATGTGAGGAGGTCAAATTGTTTTTTCTGAGGAAGGTTTTTTTCTGAACTTTGCTGATTAGCCGTTTTGTCTGAAGGAGTTGAATGTTCCCTATTTTCTTCACCATTTTCAACTTGGACTCTTTCATTCTTGTTTTCTTTCTTTTCAAAACTAACATCTGAATCAGGCGCTCTATTTCTTTCACGCACTTCTCTAGTCCTACTTCTGAATTCAAAACTCCTGTTCCTATGTGAATCACTGTATTCACGAGCACGATATTCACTTTCATATCTACCACGACTGGATCTTCTGTCATCTCGATAATAACTTGTTACGGCCCGACTACTTTCACTCTTTTCTCCACTACGTTTTGATCTACTGCCTGAATAATCACTTCTCGAATCTGAACGTCTCGCACGGTCACCACTCCTATCTCTTGACGTTTTTCTGTAGTCTCTTTTATATTCATAATCCATACGTTTCCTTCTATCATCTTCAACTTCCTGAGGTAAACGTCTTTTCTTGCTGACATTTCCACTGTCCTCTTCAGGTGATGCACCTGACTTATATTGGTCACTTTTAGGCATTTTTGTCAGAATGTCTTCATACCAAAAATGTCAATGTAATCAAAATGTTATATGAAATCGCAAAAGATTAACCTTTAACACAACAGGTGCACTGACGCTCACACAACCATAAATAAAAGTTAATTTCGTAAACTCTTACAGAATATCACTAATTTTTCACACGAAACCAAAAGTAGATAAAAAAATCATTTTGTTTAAAATAATTACGCTTAGGACACAACAGAAACTTAGCAAGAAAAACGTTTAAACTCGTTTACTCTAATACCACTCGGCAACGACCAACGAGTTGATCATATTGGGAGTTGCTGATGTTGATATACATCCCGCACAGAGCACACAAATACGACGGTCTTAATCAAAGAGTATACATAAAAAGACTTGGGCTTTTATTTCTTGGCGCGTGAGTGCCTGCTTCATGATGGAATATCTCACGACATTTTGCGTCTTTCTCGGTTGCGCCGCTATACGTCGCATGCTCGCGTAAGTATCGAGCAGTTGACGATCATGCGACATCTAGCGGCACGCCGAGAAAGACGCGAAATGCCGTGATATATTCCATCGTGAGAACCAAAGAAATAGAAAATAAAGACAGGCCTTCACGCGCCAAAAAATAAAAACCCAAGTTTAAAGGAGTATTAAAATGTTAAACTGGAACCCTTATTTGTCGCACTTCCTGAGGCGCCTTACTTTTCTGTGTACATTTTATTAGGCCTTCTATCAGCCAATCGGGTATAAACAAAGGGAAATCTGAAATGAACCTTATGTGGAAATACCAAGATTTAGTCTATTATTCGCGCACGTTTTCTTAAGCCCTCGCTTCGCTAGTTTGCGAGAGAAGTGGGGAGTTTGGCTTTTTTCACAAAAGGAATTTTACGAATTTATTGTTCATTTTTCGAAGCAAAATGGTTTTTATTACATGGGAGCGAACATTTCTGCTAACCAGATTTTGCCTACAACGCTCGTTGCTATTATTTATTCTTAATTCAGCTAATGTTGGCAAAGGAATAGGGGTAGGTATTCCGGAGCTCAGACGTGCGCGTATAATACTTATTTTGAGTCTCCATTTTTCGTTGTAATATTTTGTTTTGCTCGCGAATAGGTCGACTTGGCACACCTGTATTTCCCGGGTATCAGAAACATCATATCGGTGGCAGGTGCATGTAATTTTATCGGGAATCAGCATTTAGCTGGAACCTATTTTCATCCCCCAGGGTTGTTAGTCCTGGGGTAATGGAAGATGAAATGACGATGGACGTGAGGGGGTGAGAGGACGTCACACACATAAACACAATATATCCATGCCCGAGGCGGGATCTTTTGGTCCGAGATCGCTACGAGACTACTGCTTTAGCTATCTCAACCACCTGATCGGCTATATTTATATTTATTATTTTTATTTATATTATTTTTGAAAAGGGAAGTCAATTTTTGTTTTGAATTCAGTTCAATTTACTTATGTAGGGATAGTAACTATTAATTTTCATTTCTCATTAAACTTTTAAGTAGCAGTGGTGGCTTGTGCTATCAAAAAATGGTGGTTTACAGAATAATATCAAAGAGGGACTCTGATGCGAAGACTGGTATTCAATGAATTAGTAAGTACGTTTCAGAAATGCATTTACTTAAAATTTCACACTTTCCTTCGAGACATGTCTGCACGCCTTTCCTTGCTCGTACATTTTGTGATAACTCAGTCTGCTATTTCTGTAAGGAAGTCACGCTCAATTGAAATAATGAACAGAACTGATACTATATTCTGCCAATGTATTGCAAATTTAACTACCGTGCCCAAAGAAAACAGATTTCATCTCTTGTCTTGTTGGCCACGACAAGAGATGTATAGAGCGATTTTCTTTAGAATGGGGTGATTTGACAGCTAGTGTTGGCAACACAACTGACGATTCTGTGGTCGTTGTGTCCTAGAACCTATTAGACTCTTTCTTCCATTCCACCCCTTTGGGTAAAGTGCTACATAAATAATCTTGTGAAATTACATATATTTATGTACCTTTACAGGACAGTTTTAATACCCATCCCATTATTCCTTTAACATCATAGAGATATGTTCAATCGATATTTAGTATTTAAAATATTTATTTGAAAAGTGAACTAATGAAGAAAACACCTCTCAAGAACATTTAATAAAGCCTTTAGTTGTGGATGCAAGAAAGAGATAGCCTTCACTGTTTAGATGTTTTAATTGGTGAGAGTGAAAATAAAGAAAGTGCCTATTATTCATTCAAGAAATAGATAAAAATAGACATACGAGATCAAGGCATGCACTGAAATGCATAACATTAGAAATAAAACCATTAAAACACATTTGAATTATGAGAGCATAGTACCAAGATTTGATAGTCGGGGTGTTATGATTATAAATAAACCACCCTCTTCACTACAAAAGTGGATGAGCCATTCGCTGTGAAACGTCCAGAAAAGGCATTTGAACATCCACTGAAAAATATTTTTTCTTTCTATTTACATTTATGGCAGTTTTTTTTTTACTAAATGTGAGATCATATTAAGACATTTTCTCACACATGTAAATAAATTTCGATATTTCCCGGACTCGCGTACGTGCATATACCAAAGTGAAACTTAGACATCTGTATAGTGATGTCTTCGCGGGAGCCGTAAACAAACACTACGATGGGGCGTAACTAAACAGTTGACGCGGCGGAAGATAACTTCTCAGAATTACACGTGATGTTCTCTTGTTTCGCGAACTGTCACTTTTGTCTATTCTAAAGAAAATCACAAAACACATCGAGGTCCATTCATAGAAAAGCGTTTCGATTACATACTTTTGTATATCTCTGTGTACAAAATTACAAATATAATGTAGAAATTAGGTTTGTTGAAACTTACAAGAAATCTAAAATACGATTATCATCTGATACAATATTGTCACAGTTTGTAGTCTGCAGGAAAGAATCAGATACATAGCGGAAAATTAACTCGCTATCTGTCGAGCGCGATGAGAACTTTGTCGCAGCAAATCTCCGGTTACGGTTGACTCAACATTGGAACATCCTCCCGCGAAGCCCCATCTCCACGTCTCAGACAGCCACTGCCTCAGAGCCCAGCAGCTCTCCATCAAAACCGGGGACAAAGCTCGAGGTTGCTACTATAGGAAGCGCTAGTGTCGCCGGGTTCAGTTGCACGTTAGACTCGCCAACTTTCCCACATACAAATTGGCTAATTTGTGAGAAATATGAAAAGTGTCTTCTAAATTTACAATTATTCATAATATATACGTGTAAGAAAGCGCGAACATGAGACGTTATCTTGTGTGACATTATGGGCCTGCTTGCGAGCCGCGAACTCACGCAGCCACGCACGTTTAAAGTATTGTTGGCAGCAACTCGTGTTTTAGTTCCTGTAAAGGTGATGCACCAGAGCGCGCCACCGTTATGGTCTCCACCACATTATATGGGAGTTACAGGGCCCTGCACTGACTTATCCTCTCCTATTCTCCAACGTTGATGGCGAAGGTGTAGGTAGCAGTGTAAACACTCAGGCTCGTAGTAAACGTGCGGTTTAACTTCTTGCATCTAATTTCCGGTTAAAGCAAGAAAATTATGATGAGATTACGACTTACGAGAGTAAAATGAACAGCATAAATGTTTGTATTGTATATACATTATTCTTCTATACTTGTATAATGGTGACATTTTTCGGTTGTAGCGCAAACATGCTACAACCGTCCCGAGCCACCGTTTGTAACAAATGGTGCTAAAACAACACGTACTTTCTCGACCTCTTTTCATGCAAAATTACGCGAAAATTACTCAGATTTTCGAAATATTGTTCATGACCTAATTTCAATATCTATCTTCAATATTTTAATTGTAAGAAGACTCCGAAAACATTTTCAACTTCTGCAATTTTCCAAAAATCGTGTTTTTGGAACGAACATCAGACCTGCACCATTCACTTAAACGTTTTTCACACTAACAAAAAAAGATTTAAAAAAAAATTAATTTATGCAAAACGGAGTTAAAACTGTTGACGTGAATGGAGGAAGTTAATTTGAGTTACATTATCTCAGAAGCAAAACAAGGGGCATCTCAGCATATGCTCGAGGATAAGGGAAACTGGACGAAACCTCCATCGATGGGTCATTTGACCCAGAACAGTAAGTACAATACTTATTACAGGTCCTTAGTTTACAATACCAAATGGTATAAAATACATTGAATGTCATGTTAAAATTAATATTACTTTCCTTTAGATGACCGGGTATTATAGACTCTAATTGTAAAGAAACAGTTATTGCAGTAGAAAAGATTTTACTTGGGACTTAAACTTCTGTATCGAATTTTTAATGTCATCTGGCAAGGTGTTTTAAAATAATGTACATGTATTATATATGAATTTTTTGTAGTGAGCTGTTAATCCTGTCACCTGATGAATATGATTACCATGTCGAGTGTTGTAGTTATAGAATATGGAGTTTGCTGAAAATGTTGACATAAATAAATAAACGGCTTAGCCGCTAGCGTTGTTCACAGACTGAAAAATCGAATGGCTACAAAACGTCTGTCAGTTTCGAGGGCCCACAAACATGGGTTCTGGCTCCACCACGTGTTAAGAGAATTATTTCTACATTTAGCAAGTGAATGTATCCATTTTTTCGTTACAAGGGCTATGTAATAAGAGTATTCTGTGGAATATTTTTTCGCGCATTACCTAACTTTCTTTCTACTTCCTAAAAATATGCTGATAATCATTAAAATCGTAAAGCAACATGAGTTGAGTTTAACCTGCGTTATTCTATATGATCTGCAGCATCACGCATTCGACCAAAACATTTTGAATAAAAAAACTATCTTCATGTACCGATCACACACTGTCATTTATATAATATCTCTAGGATGGGAAAATATTACTAAGGGGCGCAATTTGATGACCTAAAACATCACCAAAAATGATCAATAAAATATTCTTAAAATGCCATAAAAGCAGATGTTATACATTTTTTATCAAAACAAATTCAGATGAAATATCTCAGGGCTTTTCGCATCCTTCTCGGTCATGTCACATGGTCACGAGCGTATCGAGCAGCGCTGGCGATCTTGGGACATCGCACCGGGAAAGACTTGAAATACCGTTAGATATTCCATCGTGAAGACAGGCCCTACGCCAAGAAATAAAGACCGAAGTATCCGCAAATTACACAGGGACTTGAAAAACTGGTCATAACCGATGAAAGGGAACGTGGATCCATACATTCCATAGATTTAATTTTTATATTAAAGCAGCACCTTAACATCATCGCTATGGTCATGTTAATATTTACTTGTAACCGTTTTCAAAAGAAAAGGTAGCGACTTTACGTGTTAATAAAATAGTGTTTTTTTAAATCCAATTTGTCGACGAATTTTCTCTGCCAGAACCTAAATAAACCGAACGCAAGGATTTATAATTGTAAATAACGAATGTGATAAGACACACGCACCTTGGCAACCGAATACAGGAAAAATCTTAGTAATTCTCTAGGACTTGCTTACGCGCGAAGCCAGAGGTTGTTATTGTCACCCAACACTTTCCCGTCAAACGTTGAGTGTGATGTCATTCTGGACATCTCTATCTTCACCATCAGTTTCATGGTCACACACAGTAATAGTTTTTGAACATTAGTTACAAGCGGCATTCCAAAAGTTTTAAATGTTGAACCAATTCTCTTCATGCATTATACTCGCAATTTGAGAGAACAAATTAGGTCAGCATGGAATAGTTATACTGTTCATATGAAAATCTTTGCTGACCCAAAGATAGATTTACAAGTTCTGAAATAAATCCACTGTGGATAAACGAATGGCCAAGGCTATGGCAATTACCCCTAACCTGAATAAGTGAACTGTCATTCAGCTGGGCCCCAAGAAACCCAAATTCACATACCATTGGGAAGCTAGTTCGAGTCACATTTCTAGCCAAAATGACTGGGGGGGTATTGATCGCACAAAATATGAAATAGGAACGACACTTACCAGCTGCAACTAGGTGAGACAACAGCCTTCTGTAGCTCATTAGAAAATTCTCCTTTTGGAGGAGTGTCCCATCTACTAGGAAGATTCACATAATACACATTAGACCCATTTTTCAATATGTCAGCATTACAGGGACTATTTTAAGAAAGATGTGGATGGTACAAAAAAGTTCAAAGAATGGTGTCACAGAGCCCTAATGAACTCTTGAGAAATGTGAAAAAAATTTGTCTCTCAAACTTCAACAAATCAGAGTTGGAAATAAAGTTGTTGAATCATTTAGGATCCTGAATGGCATATACAACATCCAAACCTTCAATGGGATCTTCATAAGGGCCACTGACAGTAATCTTTGAGAAATTCATCTGATGCTTCAAAAGGACTGGACTTCACAACAGTTTTTAACTGTTTTTGACATAAATAAATAAATCAAGAGGCACTTCTTTCAGTTTAGGGGCTCAAAAGGTTCCTTCAAGGAGATACTGGACTGAACTCTCCAATGAAGAGAGAACCATTATTCAATTAAATGATGCAGATTACCAATTGCGATAGGGTTGATATTAAATTCAAGTGTAGATGTGCATTATGTGATGTAGTCACAAAAGGTTTTATTTGATACACGATTTTTGTTTAATACATTTTCTGGTTGTGAGTATATCAGCTTTGGTTGCTGCTATTAATAAATAAATGTCAGATATTTAAAAAAAAATATATAAAAGAATATTTCACACAACATGCAATGAATGAGTGGACTGACATTTTACAGCAATCTCAAAGGTACTTTGTTCCCAATGACAATTTATTTGATGAATATTCACCAATATTAGAAGGTACAATTTGTAGATTCCTTGCATTTTCAAGATTAACTATTGCAGTAAGTATATATAAAGGAAAGAGGTAATATTTAAGTTTCTTTGATTAAGAATAAAACCTCTTTCTGCTACAAAGGCTCTACAAAAAATATTGAATGGGGGTGTTTTTGATTTATAAATGATAATTGTGATGAGCATTATCATACAACATTACAAAGTGGTTTTACATTTTCCAGTTTTTAAATTAAGGAGTTGTATTGCCATATGTTGAGACCACCGATTTCAATTTTTCCCTTTCTGGCCATTTAGCTTTAGTAAGATTGTTGGTACCATGTTGAGAATCTTAGATCCTGATGAAATTGAGAAACGGTGTAAAGAAACAATATTCAAAATGTTTAAAATGCTATCAATTAAAATGACACATAATTGAGAATTATATATAACGAGTTCGAATGTTTAAGGTCACAACTATTTATTTATGTACTGTATTATGATACTAAATAACTCAGACAATGTATACTTAAATTTTATTTCAATCTTATCACAGCCTGACCTATGAAAAAGATTTGCTTAATTTTCAGTGTTATAAGAAGCAAATCTATATTTCTAGTTACTACATTGCATTAATTTTATCTATACAAACATACAATTCCAATATATTTTAAATTATTAAAACCTACATTTTATACAAAACTAAAAAAATATTGATTCTTCATTTACATTATGAAGGTGTCTGTACACATGTGAATGTATACTTGTATAAAATAACTATATTACAAAATCTAAATGAAATGCCCCATCAAGCTACTTTAAAATGGATATTATAAATGATTCAATTTGAATAAGAGTATTCTTAAATTACTTCATTGTGCTAGGTGATGCAAGATAAAACAAAAATAAAAAAATTGCAGGCACTTTAAACTTCCTAAATATACATTATTGAGTAGCTTAGGCATGTTGTCATAAGGTACTGACATCACAGACAGTCAACCACAACTTCCTCCGAACCACTCTTACGCTTTTACAATGCAATTACTACGTGCATTCTCGAGAACAATAACAAGTAGCCTGCAAGCAAATTAGTTTTCTTTTAATCAACTGACTCTCCACATGAAGATTTCTCAATAGGAGGACTAAAACATTTTCAGCACAATTCCTTATTGACGATATTTCAATTCTGAAATCGTGCTGATCATGGTTGTATTATCTGAAAAAGAGAAAGCAAACTGTCAACATAAAATACATACTTATAGGATAGAAAAATAAGGAGAGTAAGAGAGACAAAAAGAAGGGAAAGAAAACAAAGGAAAGTGCTTCTTAAACATACTCTATTTAATATAAAATTTATAATTTAGCGATTTTAACGAGTCGGATCTGCATAGCAACTATCACTTCATAAATAATTACTTAAAAAGTGAAAATTGCTTCATAGAAGAAACCAACATCAAATAGTCAGTCCCTCAATGTACAATACAGCATTATAGGCCCAGCACTACGCAAGAGGAACCATTCTAATATCTCTTAAAGTTGAGATTAAATTGCACTGAAAATCAAATAGCCTTTACCATAATGATTATTATTAATTATCATAGTTTATCATAAAGGTTATTTTGTTTTTTTCCTTCAATTTAATTTTACATATATTTTGGGTTTCAGAACTTTCCTGACCACTCGTGTAGTTGAGTGGGAGCACCCCAAAAATCTAAATATTGAAGTTCAAAAGTATCATTTTGTAGAACATTTTGAAAGATACAATTCCATACCAAACTGTCCACTTTCATTTCCCCTTCTTGCTTCCTCCTGTCCCCAACTTGACTCACTAAACACATGTCCTCACAGAACTCAGCTTTTGCTCATTCACTCCCTTCAGAATCACAAAACATAGTTTCAAGGGGAAATCTGGGCTGTCCAGGTGACTCTGCGTCGAAGGCTGAGTTGCCAACGTTTCAACCATCCTGTCGTTCTCTTCCTCTGGGCTGTTTGCGACCGCAGTCAGATTACCCACATGACTCTGGCCGCGGAAGCCTACGACTTCATAGTTTCAAGGGACTCGAATGCATAGTTTCTGGGTTTCACCTGATTGTAAAGTGTGTTGCAGTAATCTGTTTTCCCAGTCACAATCTGCAAACTTCAATTATTTGCATCTTAAGTCTGTTGGATGCAGGATTGGGGAATAATTCTATAACAGTACAACTTTTACAAAATACTGCATCAATAGTTTCTTATAAGTTTCTACCCATCATCTATTTTTTGGGTGTTATACAGATGGTTCATTTAAGATTCTCCCTTTGAATACCTCCTGAACTGATACAGGTGCTGAGATCCAGTTTTCACTAAATGAACATGAGCAAGGGGTATGTAAGATAATATATAAGATTTGACTGAAGCTTTTTACTTTAAGAGATATCAACACAACTTTGATTAATTAAATAGAATCCTTTAGACTTGTTTAGCAATGATAATGAGCTTGTACTAATGAGATTATACACATGCATTTTACTATCTTATGTTACATAACAATATTTTGGAGAAATTTAGAGATTTTACGATAACACTAACATAGTGCTAATACCATACAGAGAAAAGCTCACATTAAAAATCAAGTAAGACATATCAAAGACTGCTATTTCACTGCACTACTTCTGACAATTACATGGAACAGATAAGGGGAAAAGGTAGTCTTGTAAAAGTGTTTAAAACATACAAATAAATTAAGAACAACACATTTGTCATGGGTAACAGCATTGCTACTCACCTTAGCCATGTGCTAGCCATGGTATAGGTGCACTCGGGGCCAATTTTTATCACATCCACAAAATGTAAATATAAGATGACAAAACAGAGGTTTAATAAACTAACAAACTAAGCAATACATTAGTTGTACCAGCCTCTTGTGACACATTGTAATTGCATTGTGCAGTAATCATTAGTCGGATCTCAGTGTACTGATACCACGAGTGGCCCATGGCTAAGGCAAGAAATAACCCTGTGGCTAGTGATACAGTTTTGCAACAAACAAAACTGGAAATTTGAAAATAGGAGATAGACATTATAATGACACACACAAAAGGTGATTGTTACAAAATTTTAAAATATATTTGTAATTACATTTAACACTTAGCTTTTGTGTTGGCCTAGGGTAATTACATACATTTTCTTAGTAGTTATTAATATGGATTTGTTACAGTAAAGAGCTTAACGTATTATTTGGCAGTTGACACCATTATTGGTTGAAAGAGAAGCTGCAAAACAGATTTTTTGCAATAATTATAACATATCCCTTAATTCTGAATAATATACTATCCGTACCACAAATTATCATGTATATATTTTTACAGTATTCAATAATGCACGCTCTATTTTTTAATGTACTTTTCAATGTGCATTTCAATGTGTCAGTAGATCAAAATCTTTAAATTCAGTTATTTTATTTAACAAACATTTTTCTATACCACTAAACCCAGACTTACTGGAGAAAACAAATTAAGGTCACTAATAACAAAATAGTTACCTAGTGTGAAATTATTTAATTTAATTTCTCTCTGTATTCTATTGAGAACTTAAATTAATATAAACATTGATTCTCAATAGTCTTCCTCGATCTCCATATTATATTTAATCTTTAAAAATATTGTTTTATTAAATTATCATATCAATTAATAACTTCATTATTCTGAATTTATTTGAAGATAAATCTTTTGTAAAAAACGTCGGCTGCTTGATCATTTGTCGAAATATATTCTACTTCAACATTCTTTCATTTACTAATTGACGAACATAATGATAAGGATTCTCAATATGTTCAGAGTGTTCATGAAAACCAGAATTCTTCAAAAACTTTATGGTACTTTGATTATCTATATATGATTTCGGAATGAATTCTTCTTTAATTGCTCCAATTTTGTTCAAAAGACGCTTTAACCAAATTTATGATTTAGCTGCTTCTCTTACTGCAATATATTCTGCTTCCATTGAAGATAAAGCAACAATGTTGCAGCTTACTTTTCCACATTAAAGGCCCATTTTAATATTTAATTAAATAACTACTGGTTGAACATCTTGAAAAATTTGTCTCCAGCAAGATCAACATCACTGAAAGATTCAAAAAACATTGGATTGGGTTTTTCAAATCTAATTTCATGAGAAATGGTTCCCTTTAAATATTGAAGAATTCTTTTAACTAGTTTGACATGTACATTTGTTAGTATATCTTGAACTCTTGAAGCAATATTAACAGCATATGCCAAATCCGGTCGAGTGCCAATTGTCAAATACATCAAACTACCAACAATTTCTCGATAACAGTTATTATTAACCAATGATGATTCTCCAAGTTCTTTAGGAATTAACAATGGGTTTGAATCTTGGATACTATAACTTTCTAGTAATCTCCTTATAAATGCTTCTTGATTAACTTCAATGTAATCCTTAATCCATTTAATTTGTAATCCTAAATAGTTATTAACCTCATCTGAAGTCATTTCAAATCTTTTCCTAATTTTTTAATAAATTCATCAATCAGATTTCTTTTTCTAATGATTAATCCATCCAGGAAATAATCATCATTACAAAAAAAGCCCACACACACGCCCACACGGATCAGCACTACTTTCTTGTAAATTACATTGTTCAAGAAATTAAATAAAACTTTTATACCAACATTTTGAGGCTTGATTTAAACTGTACAAACTGCGAATTGGTTTACATACATTATTACTTCCATCTAAGAATCCTTCTGGCCGTTTCATATAAATATCTTCAAGAATACCATGTAAAAATTCAGTCTTGACATAAAATTTTTTCATACTCCAATTTCTTTGAACAACTATTCCTAAAAGTACCCTTTTTCTTTCAAATTGTACAACAGAATTAAAAGTATCTGTATAATCTATTCCTGGTTTCTGTGTAAATCCTTTTGCTACTGATCTTGCTTTATATCAAACTATTTCATAATCCGTATTTACCTTTAAAGCAAAAACCCATCGATTATTAACAACGTTTGCTTAGGGGTAAATCAACCAATTTTCACAACATATTACCTTGTAAAGATTTTATTTCTTCATTCAGAGCAGTCTTCTACAGTTGAACATCTGATTGTAATTCTTCAAGAGCTTCTTTTAATACCATTGTTCTTAGTTTCTTTTCATAATCTTCATTATGATAATGACATGGTTTAGAAGTGAATCGTATGACTCTCAAAATACAAGTATTATTGTCACAATTATTTATAACTTTTTTATAAATGTTATTGCCTTTTTTATATTCCTTTGAAGTGTTATTAATTATTTCCTCTCCTTTAATGTTACTCACATTTGATAATCAATAACATTTTTTTCCTCTTCAATGATTTCATCAATGTTATGATTTTCAATTTTATCAGCATGATTAACAAAATACTCCATTTGATCTTCATATAAAACATCTACATACATTGATTTTCATTGTTTATTGTAAGACTTCAGTCTTCAATTTAACATCTCTGCGATTATAAGCAAACATTCTTGGTTTTTGGAAAATAAATCTCATAACTGCAATCTGCATACCCAACCATATATCCTTTACAAGATTTTACATCAAATTTTTTACATTTCTGAAGAGAAATCCATGCAAACCATTGTTCCCAACCATGTAAATCGTCCGAACGAGTCTCCTTTTACAAAAACAATTCCATTGGAAATTTACAATCAATTTTTGTTGGACCAGTTCGATTTAAAACACACGTTGCAGTTTAAATAGCTTCTCTCCATTAAGTTTTTGGACAATATTGTGTAGATTGTAACCATGAACTCGCCATTTCAAAAAGATTTCTATTTTCTCTTTCTGCAACACCGTTCTGTTGTGGTGTATAAGGAGCTGAAATTGAAGGTTACAATTTTATCTTCTCTGCAACATTCTGTATGTCTTGATTATAAAATTCTTTACCTCCATCAGTTTGTAATTCACTAATTGCCACTTCAGCGTGCGTCTTTATCATCAATAAAAAAACTGTAATTTTTCTTCAAAAATTAACCCTCCTGGTTTGGTAGACTTCTCTACTATGTTGCCAACAGTCATTCGATGATATTTTCCCAAAACACATCTTTCACAAAATTCATCATCTATTTCTACATTGATTCCTTTGTTCACTAAAAATTTCTTTACATGACATTATTTTGATGTCTTAATTGTTCATGGCAGTTTGGAATAATTATATCATTATTATTAGAAAGAATATACTATTTTTCTTACTTGACTTTTACTAATAATCTATAAAGATCATTCTGGTCACCTGATAATGCCATTGCAATAAGAATTTCTTCTTTATAAGAAATCCATGATTTTCAATCACTTCAATCAATCCATTTCATTTTCAATCACTTAATCAAATCTCTTTTAATCTAGCCTTTTTAACTGAAAATAAATTGCAAGTTACATCAGGAGAATCCAAACATCTTCAAAATAATGATCTTTCAATTTTTCTCTGCCAAATGTTTTCACATCTATGCAACTACAACCAAGTGCTTCAATTTATACATCTTGACTAGCACTGACCATTTTCTCAAATTCTGAAAAGGCTTATAAGAAAAAAACAATCACGTCTACTTGTAATATGATGCGTATCACCACTATCATAAACCATTCATCACAGCGTTATATTTATATTTATTTATATCCATTTTTTCAAAAGATATCACATCCCCAAGATTTATCTTCATTTCTACATTCGTTAGAACGATGACCCTTATTTTTACATTAATAAAACAGCAAATCAATTCTAGTCTCTTGACCAATGTCCTACCTTACCACATCTTCTATCATTATTTTTTCGTTTTCATAAACTTCTGCAAGTTATAATTTCGATTCTTCTTCTTATTTGAATGTTGATTCTTAATTTTTAATTTTGTCATTATTGCAACAGCTAAAGAACTTTCATCACTTCCAGTAGTATGAGTTTCATAATTCACACATCTCTTCTGTAACTTTGACCAAGTCTTTTCCTCTTGTGGTAGATCATGCCATGTAATATAAATATTATCAAATTCCTTCGGTTAAGTCTTAAAATTTTGCTCACAAATCACCTTCAATTATTGGCATTTTAAGAAGTGTCATTTTAGTTTCATTATCATCAAAGTTTGCTAAATGACCGTGTACTACAGTTGCCCAATCCCGTTCAATATTATGAAATTTATATCTGAACAAATCAATGGTCTTTTCAGATAATGAATCAAAAATTTGATGCAACTTATCCCATACATTCTTTAACTGTTTCACACCTAGCAATACGTAGCGAAAGTTTTGAATCAGGTGATAGAAAAATACAATTTTTAGCGTTACTATTATCTTTATTCCATTTATCCAATAACATTTCTTTAGTGGATACAGTTTCTTGTTTCTGAAAAGTTCCATCAACAATGTTAAATAATCCTTCACATTCTAAAATCTTCCTCATAATAATCTGCTATGTAGATCAATTTCTGAATTTGCATCTTTTCTTTTATCATTTTTATACTTCGCCTACTCAAAATTATCTTTAAATGAATACCGCCCTGTGATGGGCCCTTGGCTTTATCATGGCATCTGAGTTGTTGCAGTTTTTGGATTCCGGTACTAGCCTGGAGAGCTAGTAGCTCTGAGCTGGCAAGGAAGTGCAATACAGGCATTGAATGGGGAGGTTGCTCTGAGGGCGAATTTACATTCCGGCGCGATCCGAATACCAGTTCAAGAGCACACTTATGTCTGCAGGGGGTGCAGATAGAGGCTTAGGTGAATTTCCCTTGGTAAAATATAAGTGCGAGGCAGGCGTTCTGCAGATCACTCTACAACAATTCTTTGAACCTTCATGGCTGTCGACTTCATTTTACAGTTTTCATTAATCTGTTTCCTTATTAAATCCAGAAGTAGTTTATTTTAAATTACAATATTTCTCCAAGAAACAAAGTTTGTTTCTGAAAGTTTAACTTTTGGCCTAGATATTCAAAGAGATTCAGTAGGGTGCCTATATTTTCATCTTTGTCTTGCCACCATTAAAATGGCATTTCTAATGAATTGTTGAATATCACTTTTCAACTGGATATTATTTCTAACCCAATACTTACTTTTAATAAAACCAGTAAATATTGGTACTCATTTGGAAAGAAGGCTGAGTGGACCTTAGGACTGCCCTGAATACAGACTAAAAATCCTCAAGCTATGCTGGTATTTGAACTCAGGTCACTCAGTTTCGCTGTCATTGTGGGTCCTAACCACTATTCTGCCATGACACTAAATTTTATATAAATAAAATAATACTAAAGTGTTTTTTTGTACATCTTGATGTAAAACAAATTTGGAGTGGAAGAGATTGGACAGCGCAATTTTTGTATTATACTAACCTTATATGCGAATGTGTGGTGTGCGCACAAGCTCTTCTCTATGACAATTCACCTATTGGAGCATTTTGCAGCCAGAGCTCATGGATGAAGCTGTAAAGGTCCACACTGACAGACACCTGAAAATAAAAGAGAAAAGTCTAAATAAACTAAGTACTAAACTGGATTCACAAATGTGATCATTTAAAAATGAATTTTTTTTAAACAAAATTAGAAAATACATCATCACAATATTTCATAATATTCTGTTAGAATTAATTAGCCATTCTCTCAGTTTATTTGTAACATCTTCAATATTCAATTTGTCAATAAATTCCAAGGTTTTCATATTGTCTGGGAGGTTATTGAAGTCTAAACCAATGTAAGTATTTGTTCTCCGTTCAATTTCTTACTTGCCTTTTGGTAATGATAATAAGAAAATAAGATATTAAGAAAGCTTAGAAAAGAAAGAGAGAGTATCTGAAAGTGACTAGTGAATAATTTATATCTAACAACAATAATTGTAAGAATTAGTAATAAGCCAACCTAAATGTATTTATGGAATTAATCACCAATAAATGAGTATGAAACATTCTTCATTGACAGTTCCTGAGTTTCTCTTCCATCCATAAATTTGACCTTTTCATTTAATGGTGGAGTTTTATGGTTTTAGCACTGTTAAACTGGTTGGAAACTCCCAAAAATACACACCACCTCACAGCCTAATGGCTGTAATCGGACTGCTTGCCAACTCTTTCAACGTACAATGCGTCATTGTACTATGAGATTCTGATTCTGAGGGGTTATGATTTTCAAGTTACGGCAGGAACAGCCACAAATAGAATACATTCCCAACCTCTGCTGTGTGTGTGTGTGTGTGTGTGTGTGTGTGTGTCAAACAAAGACTTTATATTAAATACAATTTTATTGAAAATTGGAAAATCCTTTCAATAAATAAATTAATTATTAATCTATTTAATATTTTTTGAGTTGTGATATCATAATGAAAACTGTGATAGTGCCCCCTCCCCCACCACCAAGCCACGGGTCATGAGCTACAAAGAATTTGTCTGACTCAAGCCTTCAAACTGTTACGCTTTACGTATGTAGTGCAGAACATATAGTTTTAATTTGTAATGGGTTAATCATGAACATTATAATGTTTGGCAATGGTCAGCATTTATGGACCATTGCATCAATTCCGATCAATAATTTGCCGATATGAACAGTGCTGTGTGCAAAAAGGAATAATTTGAGAAAGTGGTTGATGATTTATTCTCACAAGTGCCGCAATCTACGCATCAACATTTGTAGAACTAATAAGTAATTGAAGACCAAATAAATTGCATCGCTCTGTTACCTTAGTTCATAAGCTTTAGAATGTCATTACAATTGTGAAGAGTAAGGCTATTACTGATAACACAATGGGTGGATGGAAATTTGGAGTATCATGTGCTATTAGTTTTGCTGTTAATGTTAATATCGTAACAATAATAGCTACAGCATAAAAAAGGATCATATATAATTGTCAACCACATTCTTATTTTATTTGTCCCTTAGTGTGTGGTACCTTGTAAGGCGTAGGGTTGAGGTTACGCTTGTGGTCCTGGCGCAGGGTGTGGAGAGAGCTCTGCACACGTGCCCGCACTTCATCCAGCGCTGGTAGCGGCTGGCACACCTGGCCTCCCTGCCAGTAAACCTTGTACAGGGGTTCCACACGTGTGGGGATGACATAGGCACGCTTGGACTCCTGGAATGGGTGCCGGCAGAGCACCTTCTCACCCACCTTGGGAGCACTCTCCACAGAGCGCTGCAGGAGATCAATCAGTGCATGCCCTACAATAAGGAATGACACCACTATCATAGCGGATAGTTTATATTGAGAACTAAGATAATCTAGAAAATAATTTGTATTGATAACTCAGGGCCAATTTGTCCAAAATTGAAACAATATAACCACTAAAGTAACAGTAATTTACAAACGCAAAACATCTCACAAATTTATGTAAAGAGGAATACACAAATTCTTCTCATTCATCTCACAATACAATGTACACTGATATACAGAACTTTATCATAAAAATGTCATGCTTTCTAAATTGATAGCTTGGAACCTTAAATTTTATTTGGCTAAATAATAGAGGGCCACAATTCTTCCAATTATACAGAAAAAGCTAGTCTATATGTTTTCTAAGAGAAAAAAAAATGACAGTATCAACATTGTATTCAAGCGATGTAAAAGGGTCAATCAAACCCATAGTGTGATATGCAATCCTATAAAATTTATGTTGCACCATCTCCACCTTTACAACACTGAACAAGGAACTTACAAGTGAAAGCAAGGAGACAAAACTTCAGATGCATACATGTGAGTTCTTTTTATGGGCAAACTATCACAAGTGTGTTTGAACCAAGACAGTTATAAATACAGCAAAGCAATTAATAAAACATGTATTGAAGGTTAACCAATGCTTACTTTCGCTTGGCCTCTCTGCTCAACAGTGCAATGTATTGTTTGTCCTGGGCTTAGGTAGCTGGGAATGTTATGGCAGATGCACCCAGGGCAGAAGGGTCACAGATTATAAACCCACCTCAGGCATGGAAGTTTACTTGCATATTGGTGGACCTCCCCCATGGGCCATGTGTACCCTTTCAATCCTCCTCTTTGTATTGCTGGCCAGCTTCAGTGGCCCAGGAGCATGGGGATATTAGCGTCTTTGCATGTACATCAGGGCTGTGGGTTTGAATAGCATAGATGTGTCTTTTGGTGGAGGTCTAACGACTGTTGTGTAACCTGTTTCAATGCTCCCCTTTCATTCCAGGTAGGCTCGAGTAGCACTGGGGTTTGGGGCATTAGAGCCCATATACTGACATTTAGGCTGCAGGTTTAAGTATCACAGATGTGTTCGTGGAATGATGGGGCCCTTGCACCTATCATGTAACCAGTTTCAACCCCCCTCTTTTGATTCCTGCTTGGCTTGATGGCACAGATGCTGATGCCCCCCC